AGGTTAATACTTCTTTTTCTCAGAAACCATTTTTTCAGATTGGTTTATCTCAGGGAATCCTGGATAGCATGGGATTGGTCAGGGAAGAACAAACTTTGGTGGTATGAAAATCAACTGAACTCCCACACTTCAATTACTGTCTATTTGTGGTTGCTTTTTTAGTTTGTTTAAGATTGTTCTCGCAGAAGGTTAGGAATGAAAAGTAATAAGAGTGAAAAATGGGATATGCACTCAAAATACTGTTACATGTGTTACATTTAAATGTAGTATATGTCTGTTGCTATTTTTCATTGGCTTTTTTCATTCTTGTTGAGAGTCAAGTTCTAAGTTGAATATTTAGCTGCAAATACGGATATGCTTTAGAATCTTATGTACAGTAGAATCAGGTAGCACTGTTGGTGTTTTACTTTTAGAGAGGTATGGATTTAAAAGTAACTCATATATTGTATCATAACTAGCTGTTGTCAGACTCCAAAAGGACACTGTACAGACTGCAGAATGCAGCTGGTGACACTCACCTTTTTGTGAATTATTTGCCTTGTACTTCTGTTTATCCTATGTCTGAAAATAATTTAAGAATCTAATATAGATTAGATCTAGATCTATCTAATCTAGAAGTCATGAGATGAAAGTAAGTGAATTGCTTTTGTTAGGTGTTTTTTTCCTTTTTTTTCTTTATTTTGGGGGACTGTATGAAAATATAACTAGCAGTGCTTTTTGTTAAACATGCATATAGATGTTCAAGAACCACGAGGATTAATAAAGTTGAAAAAAATATAGAGAAAAATTTAAGAAAGCTTAATCAAGGGAAGGTATAAAATGTTACTGGAGCATTTTTAGTGGTGTATACTTATTGTTAAATTCCTGCTAGAAATGAAAACAGGAGTTGGATGGAGAGGAGTAGTTGAAAGAGTGATAAGTCAACCTCAACTACCTAGTGAAAGAAAAGAGATGATGAAAGGGAGAAAATATGTCACAAAATGTTGAAGTAGCAATTCTGAGAAGAAGAACTTGAAAATAAATTATATTTCCACATTTAATTTTAAATAAAATAATTTAATTACTAAATTAATTTTGTTTCTGTAGAAGATATAAAGATTGCCTCAAATAATGTCAGTATTTTCAGTACTTCAATTTTTCATCAATTTATGTTAATTTTAACTTTTTTCCATGCGGTATATTGGAAGTGGACTACTGTACAGTGAAAGTGGATCTTTCTGATAAAGAATGTGATGAAGAAAGCACAGAATTCAATATTTATTTGTTTCCGTTATCCTTTTTGATAGTAGAAATCAAATGCATGCCCCTTTTTTGCATTCATAGATGGACTCCTATATTGTGGTGCATAGATTTGTATTTTTTCATTAAGTGCTTCAGCACCCAGTGTGTTGTTGCATTTCCATATTAGCAGCAACATTGAAGGATGTGTCAGTTTTGTGTTTCTCTTAGATTATTTTTACTCCAGTTTGAGTTAATTTCTTCACATGAAATAAAACCCACTCTTGCTTACATTTCACAAGCCTGTATAGAGGCAGCTGTGCAATACTGATTTAGTAGTGCAGTCTGATTGATTTCAAATTAGGGATTGTTTTTTCCAACTTTTTTTATAAAAATTTGGAAAACACAGCAATAATAACATGTACAGCTTTTGTTATGTAGTTCTTTTCACATGCTTTTTATTTATTTTATTTAAATATTTCACTAAAGACTGGAATTTTAATGATGATATCTGTAATATCAAACAGTACATAACTTCTAGTAGTTGTAGCCTAATTCACTTTTTTTTTTTTTGGGAATCAGACTCCTAGCATTAAGAAGTTGCTTTTGTTGCCACTTTCGCTGTCTCCATACAGTACTGTACTGTCTAAATTCACCATGGGTATAAACAAGGTTGTGTTTATTCACATGAAATATGGACAGATAATTTTAACATCCTAGTGACATGAAAAGATTGATGTGTTCAGTGCTAAGACAAGAAAGAGCTATTGTCACCTTTTGGTTTTAATCTGTTGTTTTCATAGCAGATTTTTTCAGTTTGACTTGGTATGTGATTTTGCTTCCTCTTTAGATTACTATGAAGATGTATAAAAAAGAAATAGTATTTGCCAGTAAACAATGTATTATGGAAGGGGGAAAAAATGTGTATTGTGCTGTAAGTAAAGAGATGCCATGGGAAAGGATGAAAATGAATTTGGGAATGACAGTCCTCTGAGACATCAAAAGGTCTGCTCCCGGGGTCACAGTGTTTCTTTCTATGTACTGTTGCCTGGAGCACTCTGGGATCCAGCAGTATACAGGGGATACTCTTTGATACTTCCCAGAATCAAAGAAGGGTAAAATCAGTTTCTTTTGGTTTTCACTGGAGCAAATTCACTTTAGAATAGTTTTCTTTCTTGAAAGTTTGTTGAAGTGTTGTTTAGATGCCTTAGTTACATGATGTTACATGTTTTTTTATGGTTCTTGACCACCAAATGTCAAACATTGCTTTTGCCCTGTTGTATTCAAATAAATATGACTGAGTCAACTCAAAGTGTAAATTGAGATTGTTCTTGTGTAGTGTCAGACTGTCTCTGTAGTATCTAGACCAATATCAGTAGATACTATGGGAATAGATTAATTCCTGATGGGTGTTTTACCTAGTGAAATCTGTCAAAATAACCTCATGTAGGAGATCGCGCTGTGTGTTGATCATGTATGGTGTTTTCCCCCGCTGTTTCACTTGCCTACAAGAATAGGGTGATCTTTTAGGAACACTGTTTGTGTTCTCTGCAATAAGAAATCATTCTTTATTCTCCTGCTATATGAAGTAATATATAGGTTGAGGAAGCAAAGCACAAAAAGAGCTGCATAGGAAAGGGCAGATGATAATTTACTTGGTTGTCTATATCTTAGAAATTCCTTTATATGACTCTTATTTCTATCCAGTCATGGCTCCTGATACTTCTGTTTTTTTTCCGTTCTTTATAAGCATGTGAAATAAGCAGATAGAGGAGTAAAGTTCAATTCATTTAGAGGTAAAGATAAGAGGATGCAAATTGGTAACTCAGAAAAATGCTTTCAAACATAACGGGATTTTTTTTCCATGCAAGTGTAACTCACCTAGATAATGTTTCACTAGTGCTGCAGTAGGTGACTTCGTAGACTACTCAGGTGAGTTTTCTGCTTAATAATTGATGTGGTATATTTGCTTTTTGATTGGTTTAAAGTGTTAAGTTACAGTTCAGTTGTAGACATAAGTAGTTAGTGTGCACGTCTGATTGAGGATAACCTGTCTGACTTTAGTGAGTATTCACAGTAAGTAGTTTATTTCAGTTGAAAACTTAATTTCAGTAATACAGAAAAAACATTTGGAATAGCTAGTTGCACTTTTGTACCATTCTGTCTTTATTAATTCTCCAAATTGCTGGAAAGCATCCCGTTTAAGACGGAACCCAAATATCTCTGATTTCACTTCACCTTCCCAGTTTCTGCCCAGTGTATAATGAAACTCAGTATTAGTATGATGTACCTGTGTACTCAGAAATTAGATGCCTTTAAAGAGCTGGAGCTTTTATAAAAAATATGTGTGTGAATTTTTAGCTCAGAGCCAAGAGTCTGTTTCAGATAGGTGAGATTTTTAATGATGTTTTAAGGGTGTCTCCAAGTACAGACTTTTGTTTTGATAAATGTTAAGCAAGTAGTAATGAGCTAGAAGGAAGACTCGAAGGAGCTGCTTACTCCAATTCCATGAGGACCTGTGGAGTGGGAGGGTAACAGACAAAATCACTGATGCTTTCCATTGTAATGTGGATACATACTTTTTTAAAGATTCATCTAAATAATTTCTGCCAGCAACAGTTTATTACTTTAAGTGTAATAATATATCCAAAGAACAAATGTTTTGTCTTTTGAATGGTAAAGTGCAACTTCAAATGTACTGTTTTGCCTGGTTTTGCTCAGCATGTTTTCATTCTTTTTTTTATGTCTGACATACTTATGACCCAGATGTAAGCTTTAGACACTGAAAACTCTCACATCATCAGATGTATTGTAGAATAATCTAGAGGATTATTGTCTTGTTGATGATTTTTTATGTTTCTGTACATACTTCATTTTAGGTTGTGTATTAAAAGCAAAGCAGTTATACTTCAGTACTGACATGAAAGTTTTATCAGTTTTGTACCGCAGTTATGGTGTCACTGCTAGGAAAATATTATAGATTAAAGCCCTTTTGATTTATAAAGAGATGGGACAAAACAGAATGTGGAATTAAAGCAGACTCCTGGAGAAAAACACAGGGTTCTAATAGGCACTGAAGAGTGAGGGTGTTTAATGCAAGTGTCATGAGAATCAAATGAAATCATTGCAGAAACTTGAAGTTCTTCCCTTATTGCAGTGAAATTTTTCTGTATGTGGGTGAACTAACCCATAGGATGTGATGAGCAATGTTGTGTTATTTTCCTTGAGCTGCAAATTCAGCCAGACTTAATTATCTTTAAAAGTATTTTTTATCATAATCATTTTGGTAGCCTCACTCAATAGTCATTTCTGTTTACTGTGACAAGTTCTGAAAATTCTGCAGAATTTTGAATTCAGCTCTGGCTTGATTTTTTGTTATGCTATAAGTGCAAGCTAAACAGTACTCTAATGCATGTACTTGTTTTAATCCATAAACACAGGTACAACTTCTGTAAACTTCTGTTTTTGCATAAGCTTCACTGAGTAATTTCCATTCAGTTCTGCATTTATAGGCTTCTTTGTTCAGTAGTAGCAGCGTATTTGGTTCCTCATTTGCATTACTGTATCTTATAGTCATTCAGTTTTGAGTATGATTAAAGTACTAATGGAATTAAAATAATGCTATAAAAACTGCATATGTCAGATAGTTACATTTCATAGGCTTAAAACACAGAACATGCATGGTCTTTTGCACTTGCTTTTTTGTCTATGAACAGGTTTCCTTTTTTTGGTTTGGTGGTGGTTTTTTTTGGGTTTTTTTTTTGTGGGGGGGTGTTTAATAGAGGCTCACAGGACAGCAGCAGGAGATAAACAGCTTAATGCAGAGAAAAAATGCTGTGGATGAGGAAAATACCCGTTTGAAGAATGAATTCGGTTACTTGAACCGGAAATTTAAAGATAAAAGCCAAGAACTTAAGGTATATTGACTTGTACATAGTTTCATAAGGCTGTATCTTTGAAGTAGTTCTTTAAGCAGTGTCAGCCTTTGTGGCACAGAAAGTGACAAGCTTGGAGAAAAAATTGCCTTAGGCCTTGCTATACCTTACTGTTTTCTCACATGCTAACTGAGAAAGATGCTTTAAAGCCAAGAATCCAAGCTTTATAACTTTCAGATAAATAGTTAATGATGGAAATGGAGCAAAGAAAGTAGAAGTGTGAAGATGTGGCTTCTTGTAATTAGATTCTGATGGGACTGGCATTATTAATTGATAAAGCTGAGGTCTGGGAGGATCTGTCTGTGTGGGTCTCAAAAATAGCTGGGGACAGCATCAAAGGCAGCTTGATCAATTAATGGGCTCTTTGCAAATGTGTACTCATCAAAGCTGTCATCCAGCTAAAAAATATGACCCTTCCACCTGCATGAAAGAGGCCAATAAAAGTGCACAGGTGACCTTGGCCATCAAATATAGAAGCTGCTGTGAGGGTAAAACTGCACAGTTTATATTTGCTGATTAGTTCTCACTTTTTGTTTATCGGCCCTTGTGGTACTGTTCTACAGGACACTGAGGAGTGTGCACAGAAGAAGGAAGAGCAAAACAGACTGGTTATAAAAAACCTGGAGGAGGAAAATAAGGGATTAAATATATGCTGTGCTGACCTGCTAAGTGACCTGGAGAAACTGAGGAAGCAGGAGACACAATGGAAAAAAGAAAAATCTGGCAGTGATACCAGAATAAAGGTACGAAGTGGAACAGACTCCTGGATGTTATTTGAAATTAACTTCTCCAGACATTTCACTACAAGTTATTTTCTTTAAATAGCAAGTTATATATTCAAATCTACCAGTGGGGACTTGCATTCATTTACATTCTATCACTTAAGACCCACAGCTTTTTAAAAATTGATGCTGCAAAGCAGGAATCTGACTTCAAATACTCATCTTAAAATGTAATCATTAAAAAATAAAAGATGCTGTTCTTTGAGATTATATATATTTATATATATATATATATATACATATATGTGTGTGTGAAATAATAAAAAATTAAAAAGTGTTACCACAATTTTTTTCTTGATTTGTAATTTACTTACCTATAATCTTGTTGCAGTAGCCTTGATCTTTGTTGTTTTGGAAGAACATGTAGTTCCAAATAAATTGTGCCCTAGTCTCCAAACGTCTCTATTCTATGAGGGGTCTTATTATTGCTTATAATGTATTAAAAAGTTTTTTTTTCATAGTTTATGATAAAGCAAAAAAGAAAATAACCGAATACGTGGTACAGAGTCTTTTCTTTTTTATATAAACCATACTTTTTCTCGTTTCTTGGTGGAAATTGGCTAGTGTTTTTTAAATTCCTCCAAGAAATGAGCCACAAACATGGCTAATCTTAGTTCAACAGCTGCTTATATACACATTTAGGTGGTGGATTCTTTTTGTTTGCATGATGAATGTATTCTTGCAATGCTGTGTTCTTTTGCATTATCAAAGTACATTCATTGCAATAACTATCTAATTAACACCTCACACAGAAATGCCCTTTTTTTCCCATGCTAGCAATTTTTGGGTTGTTGTGGTGATAGAAACTCTTTTGAAAGAGCTTAATTCAGATCTCTTAGCATGGGAAGTAAAGTTCTTGCAGATTGACTTCTTCTGACTGGCTGTGATGAAAGGATTATGGAGTTCCTAGGGTAAGAAATGATTTGTTGATTATTGGGAGAGAAAAATTATTAAGTGCCAAACTGAAAAATAATTAAGTTGTGAAATGTAGTGCTTATAATATTGGACAAGTTGTTGAAAATCTGTTACCTGTCCTTTCAATTAGCACAGTCAGAATAACTTCTCTGTCTCTTCCTGGTTGATGGGGCGTGCTGATGAATGTAAGAGGTGGGTGATTGTAGGGATGGGAATTAGTGGTGTTGGTATTTCAAAGGGGTGTTTAAAGGCATGTTAGGTTGTTGTCCAGAGTGTGAAAGAGAGTACTTCTGGGGATGGGTGTTGCCTGAGACAGCCAGGGAGGTCACAGAGTTGGATTTGCTCTTTACAAACTAGGAAGAACTTGTTAAGTTAATAGTCATTTTCAGTCTTGGCTATAATGACTATGAAGTTGTCAAGACCTTGAGTGAGTGATGGAAGGAAAGTTGTGCTATACAGCCCTGGAGTTAAGAAGCAGAGTCTTCAGATGTTCAGGGAACTGGTAGGTGGAATCGTGTGAGAAGCAGTTTTGAAGGGTAAAGAGCTCAAGAAAAACTATAACTTCTTTAAAGACAGCTTTCTCCAAGCCCAAGTATGGTCCACTTTGGAGAAAAAGTAGTTGTCTCAACAGATCAGCTTGGCTAAACGGATCTCACCACTAGTGCTGGCTGCAGATGGAAGACAGTATTCAGGAAGTGGAAACAGTGAAAGCTGTAGAGGGGGAGTTCAGAAACATTGTCTAGACACTGAAGGGTGGTGTTAACGTATGTGCAGTTGAGAGTTGCAAATAATGACTGATACAACCAGAATTTCTTGGAACTGCTTTATCAGTGAACAAGGAAAAAGGGGACCTGCTTCTGAAATTGAATGATGAATTAATTACAAAAGTTAATAGATACAGCAGAGTACTTAATATTGTCTTTGCCTCAGTCTTCTCCAAGGTGTCCCCAAAAGTTCGTACCAAGAGACAGACTGCAGTATGAAGCACTGAGAGTGGATGTGTTGGAAGATATCTGAGAGAACTTGATTGGTACACATCCATTGGGACTGCCTGAAATTAACTGCATCCAGGGGTGCTGAGAGTGTTGGCTGCTTCTCACCCTTCATTTTGGGAGTTGAATCGGCATCTTTTTGTACATATTTTTCAGTAATAGACATGGCATTTAACAGTCTTAAAGATCTGTTGTAAACAGATGTTATCCATGTTAGTCTCCTCCATCTGAAAGAATAAAAAGAATCCTTATCAAAATATGCTAGCCCAACATTGCTTCTAAAATGTGTATTAGATATTAGAAATATGTGATCTAAATCACAGATTGCTTCTTAGGAAAAGTGGTCACCTGTAAAAGTGAAGTGTTAGCCTTTTCTTTTTTCTTTTTTCCTTTTCAGTCTTTAAACCATTTTTATTCAAGAAAAGTAACACTTCTCATTTTTAAAGACTGATTGTTGTTGTAATCTGTGATAACCAGGTATAAAATTCAACTTCTTCGAATTGAGAGAAAGGAAAAGCTGCTATGGGTAGTTTGTCCTTTTAAAGAACATTTCTTTAACGTTTTGTCATGTTAGCTGAAATCAGTGTGAGACAGGTTAATAGGAGAATACCTGATAAGGTGGCTAAAAGGCTGTGTTTTATTGTTTTTCTTTTCTGTATGTACCTTCATATAAATAATGTATAGTGTACAGAAAGTTACAAAGTCTTTGTTTTCTGCCTAAAGTAGTTCTTGAGAACTTTTTGTGCTTCTTTTGTGATTCCCAGAGCTTATGTATGAGCTTTCTATATGTCTTGAAAGTGAACAAATGAAAAAGTCGTCAGTCAGCTAGCTGTCTCCCATTTAAAAATCAGTTATTTGAGTTATTTGGTTGTTCTTTAGGTGGAGGTTACCTAAATTATTGTTTAGTATCAAGATGAATATATTTTCCCCCAAACTCAATTCACAGAAGGCTTTATATGTAGATGAAAAAATGTCAGGCTAGCAGATTTTAAGTAGAGGTGAAGTAAAAGATAGTGGAATTGCTTACTGGTGGGTTGGTTGGTTGTTTTTATTAATTCCTAGTTAGCACAGTACTTTTTGAAGTTTCTGAAGTCTGAAGGTTGGAACTTCCAAAGAAACAGCCATCTCTCTCAAGAGGAGCCTGGGTTTTTATTTTCACTGAAAAATGAGAGTTTTATTGAGATGGGACCTTGAAAAATTACTCTCACTTCTGTCATAATATATAATAGGAAAAAACATGAAAACAAAGCTACTGTCTTTGAAAGCGACTTTCAAAGTGTTTGAAGGTACAAATAACAAAACGGTGGTGTTAATTCATAGTGACTCCATAATGGGCATAACTGTACTTCCTCATGCCTTGGTTTTCTTATGCTTTTCATGTCTGAAGTTCCTTTAAATTGACCTTTTCTTGCTGTCTTGCACTGTGTCCTTTATAAATATGGATTTTTGCTCTTGTATAACTGAATTATTCGATGTTTTGACTAACTGTTTCAAGTAGCATTTTTTTTAATAGGCTTTAAAAGCTTGAATCTTAAACACTCCATTGAAATTAACTGTAATTTAAAAACCCAGATTAGGAATATTTGTGCTAGGTAAATTTTCACAAATTTACATAGCATGTTTACACAATTAATGTTTTTGGCTACTGTATTAACAAGAAGGGAATATGTTAAATTCCATATGATCTTAAAAATGCAGATACTCAGAAATTGAGTGTAAAATATTATAGATTATTTCATGGTCAAAAATATGTTGTTGATTAAAAACTCAACATGAACCTGCCATGTGCATTTGCTGCCCAGAAATCTGTGTAATGGGCTGCATTGGAAGAGATGTGTCAGCAGGTTAAAGGAGGTGATTTTCTCCCTCTACTGTGCCCTTGTGAGACCCCACCAGGAGTGCCCTGTATATTTCTGGTGCTCCCAACATGAGGTATTCCCATGATATCCCTAGACCAAGTCTGTAGGAGGGCTATGAGGCAACTGGACAACCTTCCCTACAAAGACAAGTTGAGCAAGTTGTGGCTGTCCAGGAAGAGAAAGTTGCGTGGAGACCTCATAGCAACCTTCCAGGATGTGACCAGGGCCTACAGGGAAACCAGAGTGGGACGCTTTGTCAGGAACTGAGGTAATAGGACAAGGAGGTGTGGTTACAAATTGAAAGAGGGGAAATTTAGGTTAGAGATTAGGAAGAAATTCTTTACTATGAGGATGAGGAGACACTGGAACAGGTTGCCCACGGAGTGGGCAGATCCTTGCAGTGTTCAAATCCAGGTTGGATAAGGCCTTGAGCAGCCTGACTTAGAAGGGAGAGCTCCCTGCCCATAGCAGGGAAGTTAGATGACCTTTGAGATCCTTCCTAACCCAAACCATTCTATGATTCTATTTTAGGTTTCAGTATTCAGCTGAACTTATTTCAGTATCTAAGGTATTTGTATAACAAGTTTTTTCTTGCCATTTTTTCATGTTTTACTCTTTCAGTAATGCTTCCAAAAACTTTGAGTTTCCAAAATACATTCAGAAGGTTGAGCTGATTAATTTCTTACTTGAAACCAAAAGCTGGAGTTAAATATGTCACAAATGAAGTATTCAAACATACTTTTTTCCTAATTTTAAAATCTGCCATTGGATAACTTCTGAAGTTTTAATTATGGCAAAATAATGTGTTACATATTCTTTGTATTGTACTCTGCAATGGATGATGGGAACTTAAAGCATTGGTAATGTTAGATTTTTTTCATCTCTTCCATGGAAAACCATGGTATTAGAAATAGGCAAATAGAACTTATTCACAGAATATATGAACTATTACAATTTTTGTTCACATATTCAATACCTTTGGCTGCAGAGGAAAAAAATACTGAGGAGAAAACCTGCAGTTACGTGTCTGCAAGTTATAAATACCTTATTACACTTAATTTATGTGGTGATAGTGAACACATTAGGAATGAATTCCTATAATTTTGAATTTTTTTCATTATTCAAGGAAAAATTAAGTGTTTCTACCTAGCCTTTGGCATTGAATGGGTACACCTGGTATGTAGCTTGATATATGTCAAGAAACAAATTTATTTCCTACGTCATTCACTTGTGAATTTTGCTATTTCTGTACATCAATGTTACTGTTATTAACAGGACATGATCGTTTTTATACAATTTCTAGGAATTTGATTGTAGTAAACTTCTGATTCATCTAAATACCTATAAGACATTTTTATCCAATTTTAAGGAATTTAATTTATTTAGAATTTAATTATTCACTTTTCAGTTATAGAAATATTTAGATAACCTCAGTATTTGAGACATCATTGCTGAAAGGGAAAAGTGTGCATTTTCTTATTTCTTTAAGTCTGTATGTAAATGGAAAACTAATATACTTTTGGCAGTAGATTAGGATATTCTAAGAGGAGACTTTTATTTTAAATTATTAATGAATCATGAAATATTTGCCTTACTGAGAACAAGTGATTGCATCTGTGAGTAGCAAAATACCAAAGCAGGTCTAAGGCTGTTGCCACCATCTGAAATTTTGTTCTTGATATTGCTGTAATATTTATATTTCCATTCTTGCATCAAAAAAACTCTGGGGAGAAAAGTCATACAAAGCTTGATAAGGACTGATGTGCTCTTCTTAGGGAACTCCAGCAAGGTTTTGTGTAGACATTGAAGTCTTGTTTGAGTAAGCTGCCTTGCTGCTGTGTTTCCTAGATAGACCTTTGCAGTTTGCTGACTAACTTCTGCTGTAGGGATTATGGTAAAAGGCAGACCCTTGCTTGTTTGCATTGTTTTCAGTGAGCACTTTCAGAAATTTTCTGGTATGCTGTTTCTTTCCCTGAAGAAATTATTCCTTGCGCTAAATAGTGCAAAATAAGAACAGATTTAACAAGCAGTCTCAAAAATTAATCTGTAGCAATAATTCTTTGTTCGTATACATGATATTGTGAATTTTTGTGAGAGGTTAAAACAATGAATGCATAGCTGGTTTTTTTAAGGAACTTCTACATAGAAAACAAAGTTTAATCAGTTTAGTTGTTAAATAGGGAATTACTGTTTTGTAAAGGTTTGATTCAGGTTCCTCCCACATCCAGCAACTGAGTTAAGGAAAACTTCTTAAAGAAAAGGTGGCCACGTAAAGTTTGAAATACACCTTTTTTCCTGGTATTTCACATTTTTTGTACATGCACATATACCTACCTGTATGTATTTGCTTAGACTTCAGTAAATGTATGCATGTATGTATGGGCACATCCATATATCTGTATACATAGATAACTTGCATAGCAGATTTTAATTATTTCTTCTTAATGCATTTCAGTTGCTTTCTTTGCAGAATTTGGAAACTAATTTAGCAGAGACAAGAGAACAAATAAAAAGTTTGCACTGTATATGCAGTAACTTGTCATCTCAGGTAGATGTGAAACAGGAAGAACGTTTCCAAAAGGATTGTGATGTGGTCGGAGCTGAGTAAGTATTTCATAATAACTTTTAGTCTGAATCCTCTCAAAAAGGCTATTGTTCCAGTTAGAAAGCCTTACGTGCATTGAAGATACTTTTGTGCAACAGTGTGTTTTACAATTCTGTTCACAAGATACAAGGCTTTTGGAAGTCTGCCAGTTTATGTAGATACATTTTGATGTATCTTCTGATACATTTTGACTCTTGTATATCTTACCTGTTTTTCAGTAATGACAGATTTAAGAAATTATACTTCTATAATTTGCATTGTGTCAGAGAACTACCAATCTCGACTGAAAGTAACTAAGTAACAATATGATTAGTGACATGAACATTAATTAGAGAGGCTAAACACCCTAAACCTGAAAAAGCTTTAAGCCTGAGTGTAACTTTTTACTTAGAGTAAAATCTGACAAGTCAGCAAAAGTCTACATAGGCCTGTGCTAAAGGTTTAAAGTGCAGTGATTTCAGTTTAATCTTAGTTCTCACACACTATTTCTTTACACTGAACCTGTAAGATTAGTGCTGCATTATTTGTGTCTTGGAAAAGAACTAAAGGACAGAATGTATTATATGAATTGAAAAGACTACTGAATTCCCCAGAATTAAGGTAATGTCAGAAGATAATTGGTAACTCTATGTCAATTGTCAGGAAATTGGCAATGTTTTACTTCTTATTTTCAGGGGCATAAACACTGTTTCATTGCTATGTTAGATTAATAATATTCCCTTCAATATTCTTTAAATGGTGAACTGCAGTTAGGGAGTAGAAATCATTGGTATGGATACTCTTTACTTTCCAAGCACAAATATTCTGTAGGGAGTCAATTTCTAAGTATTTTTTTTCAAAAAAACAAAAACCAAGAAATATTTTTTTTTATGCATCTGAACTAAATTGTCATCTTGAACTCTTGTCATGTTGAAATCTCTACAAGAAAGATGATGCCTTTACAAAAAAAATTATTTTCATGTTTAAAAGAAATAATACCAATTGGGTTTAAAAAAGTCAAAAACATGTGTAAGCTTATTGGGAGATTGTATTGAAAGAGACAGTCAATGGAATTTGTGAAATTCAGCAATGGACTAATAGAATTTATCTCCTGAAATTATTCTCAGAAAAATATATATGTGTGAGGACTGGGGACAGCAAAGAAAGCATTTTAGAGTCAGGTAATCAAGTTTGCAAAGTTGCTGCTTGCTGGTTTCAGCTTCAGATATTGCAGTCTGACTTGGCCAAAACTTTGAACTTCACATTTCTCAAAATGAATTCTTTGATATTCTTTGCAGAACAACCTCTTAGAATTTAGCACAAACACCTCATTAAAACATGGAAATAAAATAAAGACATTTTTGAACATAAGATCTGAACATGAGGTAATAAAGAGATGAAGACTAAATCTATTTTAAAGTGAAGTCTTCTATGTTTTTCCATATAACCAATGCTCTAGATTTATGGGAAACTATTTGGTAAATCAGTCATATGGGGGATTTTGTGTGCTGTAATGTTTTCCTTCCTAGATGCTTAGTGGTAATGCAATAAGTAGTAGTATTTTTGGATATCACTACTATGTGAGTTATGTTTCACATGTCTGTATCTCTATGTTTGATCAGTATCATAATTTGTTGTCTGCTAATCTTTCTCAATGAACTTCAGCTACAAATTTATTGTTGAAATTTCTGTTATGAAGAAAGAAGGCTTAAGCTTATATTATGTAAAATTCACAATTTTAGTAGTTTGCAATACTTACTAAGAATTGCAAATATTCTGTACTTTCACAGTATAGAATACTGAAATTTCTCCTTATCTTCTGAGATGTCAGTATGTAGAGAAAATTACTTTTCTGTTATTTCTCATTTTAAAAATGCGTCAAAATTAAGCAAGTCTTTGTAAAAGGAAGACAAAGTCCTATTTAAATTAAAGTAACTCCTCAGTTAAAGGAAAAAATCTGAGGAGAAAATGTAGTCTTTCCATCTTCCCATCTTCCTAGGCCAAAATCTTGCAACTGTTTTGACTTAATGATTAAAGCACTTAATTTTTCCTATTTATGATAATGCTGTTGGGGTTTTTTTTTTAATCCATCTAAAATTTAGTCTTAATGAAAGTGTCAATTGAATGCTTGGCTGTCATTTGGTGCTGGCAGAAAATTCCACAAATAGTGTGGAAAATACCCCATCCTCCTTAGTATCTTCACTTTCCCATCATCAATTTCAAGCTTCAGAGCTGAAAAAGACAGTCTGGCTTGCAAATGTTCTCTGTTCTCCCCAGTGCCCTGTCTCACTGTTTACTGCCTTCCTACTTCCTCCACCCTCTCATTCTGTGAAAACAGAGCAGGAACACAATGGAAATTATTAGAAACAAGCTCTAGAAGAAGAAAGAAAGGCAACTGGCTTCCTTCATTTGGTGTATTTTTTTCAGATACAGCATAGGCAGATTCAGAAAAACTCACCTTCTGCTGATGACTTGGTAATACTGTCCGAAATTTTTACACTATGTGGTAAGTTCAATTGCAGAAGGAAGTCTTCAAGGGCATATGTACATCCTGGGCTAGTGCTCTGGTTTTTGTGCATTCACCACTTCCCATGTTGTGCATATCTGTCAGTTTGTTGGCAAGAGATTTGTTTAGTTTAACAGTAGATGTGTCTGTAGACAACAAGAGAATTGTTTTCTTCAGGAAATTAGCAGAGATCAAACTTTGAAGGAATACTCCAGTGCAACTCTGGTTCTACAGAAAAACAAGGTGGTTTTGAAAATACTGCCATATGCCAGGAAAAGTCTGCTACATACTTTTGAGGTGTGGAAGATAAATTTTCTAGGACCAGTGACCGAACAGTATTTACAGGACACATCCTGTATAGTGAATGTCTTTAAGAAGCCATTACCGTTCTTTTTTTGGCTTAGTTTTTGCAAAGCACTCTTCACCTGGCTGGGTTTCATTTCAAACTTCTGAATTATGTGTGACATGCATTTTCTTGTTATATTTTTGATGTTTTAATTTAATACAGATTTTCGGTATCTCTGGAGTCCATGTTAACCTTTCCATGTTATTGAGCTTGGTCATTTTTGCTTTAAAATTGTGCTGAGTACCAGGGTCTAGAACTTTGTGGTCTGACACAGCTCTGGTGGAGCACTGAACATCAAACTGGATAGGTTTGATTGATTCACTGAGGCTTGAGCCTTGCTGTCACAAGTATCCAGGAAATATTAAACTGTTTGCAAATATAGCAAAATCTATTATAAAATGAATTTTCATTTCTTGCCCCAATGTTTTTAGTGGAAATGTGGGCCATGACTTAATTCCTTTGATTCTTATCTAGTCCAACTCTCTCCCTGATGATTTTCCAACATTTTTTTTCTGTAATAATATTTCTATTTTTATTCTCCCACCATGTGTGCCCCCACCCTACCCACCACCCCTTCAAAGCAGTTACTATTAACTTGTGTGCTGTAAATTATGAGGCAGTCAGATATTTACTCTGGGCTTGTTTTGCTGCTCTTGGATTTTTCAGGTTAGTCTTTGCTGTGTGCTGCAAAACATTTTGTAGTATTTATGGCATTTCCATGAGAAGTCATAATTTGTAGGACCTGTCACTCTGTTGTATTTTTAAACTGCAGGTAGTGGGATTTAGAGATTTCTCGAATTACCCCAAACAATGTTGTATTCCCTTGGTAACAGGGACAGCTGAGATGTTCAAAATCCCAGTATATTCACCAGAACTGTGGTTGCGAAACAAGACTAAGAGCATCATCTGAAGTGATGTGTATGTTCTTAATTCTGTTTGTAGCACAGCGCATTCCATAGCTTGTGGAATGACAATAGCTGTTAATTTAATTTACATCTCTGGGAAGCCACAGGTTACTGTAAAACCTTTTATCAGAGCATGTAAGGCCCCTTGCCCTGCAAGGGTGGAAAGGTTTTATTTAATCTTATGTTTTAGAGATAGAAGGTAGTGTTTGTGAGCACCAAAGCTGCTCTAAGCAATAGTAGTGACTTAAATATTGTTACTGGTCGGATAAGATGTCAAATGCTTGAGTCTTGCTGCTGTGTGTTTTGTGGTGTCTTCATGTAGCATCCAACTGAATGCAAAGTCTACTAAGATTACTGTACCAACAATCTTAATTCAGGGACTGAAATAGTTTAGTAATGCTCTTCTATTTTGATGTGAGAAAGGGTGTGCTGTGAAAAAAAGTTTGATCTTTCTTGTTGCTTGAAGTCACTTTCTGTAAATTTCAGGTCACTTTCTGTAAATTTCTTCATTTCCTGTTGTATTCATTTTAAGATATGAGGTTAGAGACAGAGAGGTGGGTTTTTTTTAATTTTCAGTACTATCTGCTAAATTTTCTCTTAAAAAATTGAAAAAGCTCTCAGTGTATCATGGTGTGTTATTGTATGGGAAGTTTGGGGTGATGGAAAAAAATAGACTTAAGTGTTGCAGTTTGGGTCTTCGCCGACAGTGTTTTTTTTTTTTCAATTACTGTTGCTCATGGCAACTTTTTTATTAAAATTGTGTTTCTTTAAAGTGTAAGGTATGTTGGAACATTTTATTACCATGTGCTTATATTTATACAGGTATATGTGTGTACATGTTTACATATAATTTACATATTTTATATGTAGATGTATGTTTATTTTTATATATCTGTATGTATGTATAGATGCCTGTATATCATATATATGTGTGTGTGTATATTGGCTCGTATATGTTAAATGCCACTCATTATACTTGTTAGATTCAATTAGTAATTTTTGGTTGTTTCTTCTGTTACATGCTCACCCAAGGCAATAATTTTTCTGAGGACTTGACATCCTTATCCTGCTGCAGTGACAGGATAAAGGTGTCTGTCTGGTAGAGTGTTTATTGTTTGCTGCTTAGAGTAAGCATGTTAATAAATATTTTGAGGTTGATTTTGAATACTCTAAGCACAGGACAAGCAAATTAGTAACAGAATCACAGAGATCCCTTAGTAGCTGAAACTGGCAAACACTTCTGGAGATGGTGTAGTACGCTTCTCCAGTAGATCCAGCCCTCTGCTCCAGCAGTATCAGCTACAGCATGCTGCCCAGTATAGTGTCCAATTTGAGTATGTCCAAGAATGGAGACTCTGCAGCCTTTCTGAGAAGGCTCTTCCACTGTTTGGCCTCTTTCAATGAATAAAAATATTTTTATTATGTTTAGCTTAGGAATTTCATCTGTTTTTAATTGGTGCTTATTACCTCTTTTCCTGTCACTGAGCACCACTTACAAGAGTCCATCTGCGTCTTCCTTCTAGATTGCCATCAGGTATTTACAGATGTTAATAGTTCAGTTGTCACTGAACTTTCCCTTCTCCAGGCTGAGCAGACCCAGCTTTCCTACCCTCTCCAGGTATTCTATGCTGCTCTCTATGCAGCAGATGCTGCAATACTTAAATAATCTTGTGGCCCTTCATTGGCTCTCTCCAGCCATCTCCATGTTTCTCTTGTACTGGGGAGCCCAGAACCAGACACAGCACCAAGATGTGCCTTAAAACTTCTGACTAAGGGGGAAGTATCCCCTCCCTTGCCCTGCTGGCAGGAGTATCCTCTCCAAAGCTCAGAATGTCATTGGCATTTGGCACAAGGCCACATTGCTATCTGATGACCATACAGGTGTCCACCAGGATTCCCATGGCATTTTCTGATAAGGTGCTTTCCATCTTGTCTGTTCCCAGACTGCTTTTACACAGGATTTTTATCCCCCAGGTGCAGTAATTTGCACTTGTCTTTGTTGAAATTCAGGAGGTTCCTGTCCAGCCTTTTGTCTGGTCATAAAGGTCCCTCTCAATGACAGCCAAACATGTGTTGTGCAATCCCCCTGTTTTGTGGCGTCAGCATAGTTGTGGTGTTGCATTCTGTCTCATTGTCTGGGTCATTAATGAAGATGTGGGAAAGTGGTGGCCCTAATTTAGCCCCTAGGCTACTCCTTTAGTGCTCAGCCTTGAGCTGGATTTTTCGTCATTGATTACAACTCTTCAAACCCAGTAGTTCTGCCAGTTCAAGGGGACTTTACTGTCCATTTATCTAACCTCTACCTCATCAGTCATGTCTATTGCATTTTCTGGGACACTATGTCAAGAGTCTTACTGCAGTCAAAAAGAACATCCGGTGCTCACCCCTTATTCAATAAGATAGGAATTCCCTCAGAGAAGGCTGCCAGGCCAGCTGGCTAGAGCATGGTGCTAATAACATCAAGGTTGTGGGTTCAGTTCCTGCATGAGCCACTTACTTAGAAGTTGTACTTGATGATCATTGTGGTCCCTTTTCAACTCGGAATATTCTATGGATCTGTAAATACTTACTTCCCCCTATGACTCCCAGTGATCATCTTCTCCACTACATGGTCCATCACCTTCCCAAGGACCAAGATGTAGTTGACTGCTCTACCTTCCCAGAACCTTCTTTTTAAACATAGGCCTTCCTAAAGAATCTGTATCCATGCATGTAAATGCTTCAGTCATGTGAGTTGTCCCACCTTGTCTCTGTTATCCTAGTGAGTCCAGCAGGTGCAGACAGATGTCTCATTCCTCCTGTTGTCTTCCATGAAGATGTGCTGTGTCCATTTGAACAACAGCTTCAGATAGGCACCCAGTTGAGCTAATTTCCCAGTGTTTGGAAAATCACACTGTAAAAGGCCAGATTCTGCAAAGAAGACAGAGGAGTCTTGGGTTTTTGGAAGACACAGCCTCCTTTATCCTAAACCCCTGACTACATGTTGCTCCCCTCCTCCTTTCCGCATTGGGTGAGGTTCTAGGAAGATACAGCCTTCCTGAATCACCTACTACATTCCCCCTGTAAGATGTATCCCGTTCACCTCCGTTTTGCATTGCGTGGCAGTGAAAATAAGCTTTAAGCCCACCCTGGCTGGAGAAGTTAATATTCGTAAGTCTAGTAAGGCTGCACATTTTTCTCTGAAGTTCAGCATGCACTTGGTTCTGCAACAAACTAGAGTTGCTTGATATTCATGAAAACCCCCACACCCATTTCTCCAGAACTTCACTGGTTCTTTCCGAATGAGTTGTTTGTGAAGACATTATCACCCATTTCTCCCCTCAGCAGAAAGACTCTTACGAATCTCCCTCATACTGTCCGCACTCCGTTATTTATGTGCATAAAGTGAACATCCTCCCTGAACATTCTGCTGCTCATCACAAGATCTTTTCCATCCGTATCTACCTGTTTGCTTTTGCCTGGCAGTTCAGGCCACAGCTTCCTCAGTTGCCATTTCATTGGCATCTTTGATCCCTTCTTTTCCTAATTTAAAACTCCCCTAATTGATTTGGCTCATCTGTTATCAAAGCACTTGTTTATGTGTATTTGTTTGTATTGCACATTGGTACTGAATAGTGCCTGGCAAAGGTTAGCATAAGTTCAATATTGGTCTGTAAAAGTGAAAAAAAGAAGGCTCCCCATTGATTTACAATGTAAAAATAGGGTCTCATTCACTAAAGACAAAAGCAAGTTAAAGTCCAAGTATGAATAAATAAAGTTTGATTTCTAAAATGTAATGGAACTGTGGCTGAATTTTCTTATACTGAAAAACTTTGAATTTAACATAAACAAACATGTTCATGTGTTCTGACTGTGCTGTGGTTCTTGTGTCATTGCAAGATTTAGTTTCCCCCTCCCACCGCCTCCCCTTAAGAATATAACTGGAAGTCTGATAAAGTCAACAAAAAAGATTCCCATTGACCTTAATACACTTTGTGGGCAGACCATTAGAGAACACATAATACTGCATTCTCGGGTGACAGACACAGATAACTGCATTGATGTTTGCATACAAATTAAAAAGTGGCAATATAGCAGTCTGGTCTTGAGGATTCAACATTATCCCATGTTTTTCCCTTCCACAAAAAAATGAAGATTTGATTGGAGAACCTGTGCAAAATTAATATAATCTGTGTTTCAACTGCAGTGAAAAGATGTGGTATTTTCTATTATATACATGCAGTCAGGGAAATTAAACAAGAGCTTGTTTGGAAGCCTGTTCTAGAGCTGTCAGAAAGCACTAGTGTATCACTTGTCTGTAGTTCTGCTGCTATTCTTCTGAACAGAATTAAATCAGTACATATGCAATACGTTCTGCAGTTGCACTTCCCTACATGAGGAGTCTTTAGTGTATGTCTACCTTTGTTAACTTTGGGGAACTGCTTTACAATTCATTCAGAGCAGCAGGACTTAGTGTTGAGTCCTAGTAAGCATGGTTAGTGTGTCCTTAAGTGTTATCCTTTGTTGCTCTCTTAAGAGGCTTTCTAAAATGGTACTTTTTTACAAAAGAAAACTGACTGTTGTACTGCACATGTAGTTTAAATTCTTATATAATTATTCAGATGTATCTGTATTGAATAATCATTCAGTCACAAACTCTAATTAGTGGCAGGGGTTTTAAGAAAAACCTTTGTGAACTTCCCTTAAAATTGTTTATTTGTTGTTCTGTTTTCCCTGGAAGAAAACAGTGAAGTTGTTATTGCTGCTTACCTTTTATACATTAATCTTTACCTAGATATCTCCAGAAGCATTAGAAAAAATGCAATGATAACTCCTGTTCATGATAATTCCAGTCACAGAAATACTACAATTGTGTTACAGGATAAAAAGACGGTTCTTTGAGGAAGTAAGGAGGAAAATTAGTTGGGGTGGTAAATATATGTTTTGGTATCTCTGCGTAATACTAGTTTGAAATGTGCTTGTGAATTAAAAGGGAAATAAGTAGAAAATACATAAGCAGGGATTAATAGAGTAATCTGTACTTTCAATATGTGCTGCAGAAAATATTCAAAGTATTAATCATTGTTTATAGTAAACACAGTAAGTGTTACTGTGCTTTGATCTTAATTTAGAAAGTCCATCAGTAGTACAGTGAAATTATTTAGAAAGCTGATTATACTAGATCTATCCTATGGTTGCATTACAACACCATTCCTCTTATTGTCTTTATAGGTCTTTTATTATGTTATATGATATGCACCAAAGGTTTTGCTTACTTTGTTTATGGTTGTTGCAGTATGCCTTACCTGCAGACAAAAAGTAATTTATCAGCAAACATATTCATGTGTCTAGGAAGTAGATGCACGTCAGAAAAAAAGGTTGCTTCACACATACTCTGCAAGTTCAGGAAAAAGTTTTATCTTTTTCTGATTGTTCTAGGTTAAAAAATCTGACAATTTATTTACAATTGATGTGTTCTGTGTATTTTACATTTTGACACTTGCTGCTAAAGTTAACTGAATGTTGATTAGAAAAAGATGAAGTAGTGAAAATTGATTTATTTTAGAGCAGCTAAAGCATTACAAGAAAATAGAAAGGCATTCCATTTTGAAAGTTAACTGTTTTTTAGATATTTCTCAAAAGTGTATAGTAAGTATTTTGTATCTACCTTGTAGTGTTTGTAAGGCAATTGACAGAAAAATAAATGAAGATAGGAAGCTCATTATCTACAATAGAATTATTTGCATACGATTTTTTAACAGAGGTCATTGTTCTTTTTCTTAATTTCTATTTATTGCTTGTTTTGCACAGGAAGGAGTTAGAGGAGCTACAGAATCTTTACAGACAAAACACTGAAGATAGAACACAGCAGGCTGAGCTGATAAAGCAGCTAGAGGCTCTCAATGCTGATACACAAGAAGCACTGCAAGCCCAAGAATATGCTCACACAGCTAAAACAACATATCAAAAAGTATGTTATTCTGCTTTATGCTCATAGGGTTCATTTTCATATCCCTATGTACAATATCAATGCACAGAGTAATCAAAGCTCTTTGTAGTGTTGCATTTTTTAGACCTCTGTTATTCTCTGTTATTGCCAAAATAAAATTGAGTGTCTGAGTTTTTTGGCCTGATTGTGTACCAGCATACATGGCCCCTTGCATACATTGAATTGATCAGCCTTGAAAATTAAGATTTCATTGCATGTGAAGAAAAGTAGGATTGAATTGCCAAGCATATGAGTTTCTTTATCTGATTTGGTGTTAATTATGTTTTTCTTCTTCCTCTTCTGTAGGACTGGAACTTTCAATTACTAAATTCTCCAAATTGATTTTCATAGTTCAGGGGACAATATTCTTTTCACTAAAGTATTTGTGTGAATCACAAAGAATATTAGTGGTCTAAGACACAAAAACTTGCTGTATAAAAATTAACTGGAAAAATTGTTGCTATAATATATTTTGAAATGATTAACTAGTTCACAAAGTTGGAACAATACATGTATTTGCAGAAGACTTATATTATTGGTGAATGTCAGGGAAAATCTTCACTCATGATCTGTCAAACACTCGCTACTCAGAACTTCTTTCAGGTTTATGAACTTATGATATGTTTTTCAGTCTCTAAGAAATATAAGAAACATGTTTGCTTCCTTTTTAGAAAAATTAAGAAGGAAGAAGGCAAGGAAGAATTGGTATAAACAACTTTCACATGCCTTCTACTATCTTGGAACTGCATTCTGAAGTTGTATATTGCCAGTGCTTTTTCTCAAAAATTTTTTCTTCCCTTTGTCATCTTACTTAAGAGTGTACAGATTGTAATAAAATTGTGGAGCTAGATCTGGGTCAAACCAGAATCAGTACTGGGTTTCCGAAGATGTGTTTGTTTAGTGTTCATAGCTTGTATTGCCCAGCACGTTCTTGTCTACTTCACACTGTACTATGTGATGTGGTTTGCTAAGGTAATTTGAAATTGTGTGAAATGCCAGCATAAAGAACTGTTTCATATAAAAAAGAGTGGAAAAAACCCCAAACACCCTAGAAAACTAAGCAGTTTATTTTTCTGTAGTGATGATACAGTGATGATACAATGATGATATTAAATAATTTCTGCATTGCAGTGGTAGCTCAGTCAAGCTGCAGGTAGACCTTCTGTCAAAGTTGTTCAGATCATGTCCAAGGCAAGAGGAATTTATCTGTCTAGGGTGTCAGGAGTTGCTAGTTTATTTCCCATTCTCTAGTCAGTGCTTCTGAAGGTGTTAAATGAATCATTTGAGTCACTCAAAAAAAAAAAAAAAGAAAAGGGAAGACGTGTCTTCACTGGTGACTATAAAACCATATTCCTCCAGAAAAGTTCTACAGCAGTACAACATGAAAGAAAATAAAACTGGATTTTCATGACACTGTTCTAAAGCATGAAAAAACTTTTTATAATGGTAGCTTTACCTTGCACAGTGGAGATTTTGCCAGTATTTCTTCAGTATGGGAAAGAGTTTGACCTGTCCTGTGAAAAATAGTTGCTTAAGTAATATGTAAAATTGATACTTATATTAATATAGCTATAGGGTCAAGCCACTTTTAATCTCGGCTTAGTTCAGTGTTTAGGATTGTTTCAGCAGGCTGGTTCACAGTTCTTAGTCAGTCTAGGCAGGACTTAAAACTTCTGCCTATCTTATAACAAGAGTATTGTGGTTTAGAAGGTAAGCCCTAAATTTTGATAGCTGCCAAATAGTCCCAGTTTACAAAAGACTCTAAAATTTTCTGGAGATGTTGAATTCAATATTTTTTAACGTGGAGCAGTATGCTCTCTTAAACTAGCAAAAGCCAACTCATACGTGCTAAAAAATTATTTTTATGGAACTGCTAAATTGTCTTTTTGTAAAATATCAAACCCGAAAAAAATATGGAAAAATGAGAGAAAAACAGTGAAAAAAGGAGTAAGTGACGCTCCTGAGTCACAGCGGAATAGAGCTAATGTTTGTGGCAAGTTGAGTTAAGAGAACTTTGGAAGGGGAAAGGAATTAATTTATTGTGGCAACCCTATTCTGTATTTCTGATCAGAGCTGTATGAAACAACCAATTGTAATTGTGTCAAGCAATGTGGATTTTTCAAATATGCAGTCCTACCGAAGTCACAGCAGGCTTTTGAAAAACTCATAATCTATAGAAATAATATAAATGTCTATTTCTTTTCTTCAATGAGGGAGGCACAAACAATTGCAGACAAATCTGTGTTCTGTTTGTCTTCCCTGCATTATTAATATGCAGTCTGCAACAGCTAGATAAGGATGTGTCAGCTGTTCCATAAATAAAGTCACAAAGGAATATTTTCCTACTTCTTCAAATGGCATTGAGCCTATCAGCATGTACATCCAATGATATATTGTCCCTTACAGCAAGATCAATGACCTCTCTGTTAGTGGTCAGATAGGCACTATGTGCTGTAGCTCAAGCAGTATGGTTGGGTCACATATTCAAAGTTCATGTTAACAGGGTGCCATTGAGAAAAACAGGTTTTTGTGCTGATGTTGATGTGTAGTATGAAACAGGAGACTGAAAAAAGAAAAAGTATTTCTGATAAATCTGAGATATTAAATTTGCTTTGAATTATGTGAAAATTTATTGACAACCACAAATTTTCAAGTCTAGCTGTAGTGAGCAGCATGTAAAGATCTGTAACCTGTTTTATCAAGTTGGGTTGACTTCACATACCTTTTTTCTCCAAGTACAAATTTTAAAATGCTGTGTTTTACAATAACTCCTTTACATTAGAGCTTTTATGGAAATAAATTGATGTCTATTTCATATTGCAGCTGTAGTTCATATTCTCAAGGATAGAGAATATTTTTCTAAAATGTGTAGCATCTGCTTTAGTGGTCCCAAATGCTCTGGGGACTTCATTCCTATGCTGGATTTAATGAGACTCAATAGATTTGTCCTCATCAACAATTTCAAGGTGGAGAGATTTCAATCAATACTAGGGATAATAAGACAAGAAGAGATTCTGAAGTACTTCACCAGTTTATCACAGTTTTCTAAAATTTACAGTTTAAGGCCTTTGTTTTTATAATGCTTTACTTTTGCTTATCTGTTGTGGCCTTTAGGATCCATGTTAATCATACTGATTAAAAGTTGTTCAGTGGAAGGCCTTTTCATGGAGTGGAAATAACATTATCATTCAACAGGAAATTATCATTTATGTCCTGGAACTCAGCTCTTAGATAGAGAATACCATGAATAGTGGTAGTGTGCATGTCTGTGGATGAAGAAAAGCATTCTGTAGTAGTCTAATTTGACTATTTAGATATAGTAATTAAAAAGCACAGTAAGAGTTTCCAGGATGAGGCATCGCAGAAATCTGCATCAAGTGCATCAGCAAGGAGATAAAAATAGGAGCATGACAGATATATTTTCAGATGTTATTTTGTACCTGCATTTGCCTTTGTAGTCCTTCTCATGGTATCCTTAAGAAGTAGATTGCTTTCCTTCAAGCCCATAAAATTGTCATCAGAACATCAAATTACTGTGTTTAGCACAATGTGGTTGTTTTACACTTCCAGTATTATTCCAGTAACTACAACAACCTTTAAGCATGGTTAAAAATAAATGTGTTTTTGTAAGTATTATTAAATTCTGACAATAAATGCTAAACCCCTACACAGATCTGTAAATGCTAGTGGTAGTGCAGGTTCCTATTCAAATTAGAATGAAAAGCCTAAGTCCTTTCACATATGATAAGGCAGGAGAGGAACTACATGTCCAGTCAATATGCTGAAGCCCACATAAGTGTATTTTCATTTTTATGTCTACATTAAGAAGGTTTTGAGGAACTCAGATCTTTAACAGATTCCCACACTTTAGTTCAAGCTCAGATACTGTTCTGTACAACTGGTAAATGTGTTAATTAAGGTAGTCTTTGTTTCTTGCATGCCAAACATCAGTACACTTGGCCACATTCTGGCAAATAGATTTTGGTATCTGATGTGCCTTTAGGGTGAAGTTGAAGAAATCCTGCATAGACTGAGTCTCTTAGGGTGATACTAAATTGTGCACTCACGGGCAATGGTTTTCATGCTTGAAGACCCCTGTACGGATATTCTTAGACCACAGACAGCAGTTCCTGTGTGTAGTGGTGTAGACTGATATCTGCAGAATATTCAATTATTTGTGAGGGGAAAAGTGACTATAAATAAAATGAAACTAAATATCATGAATGTGCTGTATGTATGTATGTATGTAGTCTGATAGTCTGTCTGGGCTGTCTCTTCACCTTCGCCCTAGAGTTTCTTCAGCTGATTTCTGCCCTTGTTCTTTTCAAATTCTCTTAAAAAGCGTGGGTTCTAACACGAATTTCTGCAATAGTGCTGTAATAATTTCCATTATTGTTTTACTTTGTCTTAATTTAGAGTAACTTTTAAAAATTTATGTCATTAGTATATGTTTGATATTACTGTATGTTTGGATTCAGAAACAGCTGGATGTGGCAATTAGTGCTATCATTTATGACATGATGACTTTAGTCAAAGGTTGAACTTGATGATCTTCAAGGTCATTTCCGGCCTTAGTGATTCTATGATTCTATTTATTTGGGTCTCTGTAATATACTTTCTTAGGGTATGGGCATTGTGATAAACATTTAATGCAGAAGAATACTTGTTTTATACACAGTCCATATAATGTGGTTACTGTTACATTTTTTAGATGGATCTTAGTGTTAGTTCCTCACCAAAAACTTTGAAGAAAGTCTACCAAATGACCCTACTCTCATACTTCAGTTGATACCATAGAAAAGTTAATGACAGTATCAACTAAATACCTTTTGGATCATGGAACTGAAAAAATATACCCTGGCTGTTAGCTGGCATTTAGTGCATAGGAGCAATCTAAATCTACTTTAAAATAAACCCTGCACACTTGTTAAGTGTTGGTAATTTGTTTCAGCTGTTTCACTCTGCAGGGATTTTTTTTCCAGTTGCACTACAATTATGGTTAACATACCAGTGATAATAGCATAGGTTGATTATTTGGGTTTACTAGGTTATTTTTTAAATTTCTCTGCTTTTCCTTTTGGTGTGACGTAAGATAATTTTGCCATCACACAAATTCAGTATATGTCAGTATTTCCTTTTCCCACCATTATCAGGCTGTGTTTTCCATTACATGTGAGTAGTTGTTACAGTTCCATCTTTTGCTTCTGGAGGTCTTGGCTTTGGTTACACATTTTTTTGCTTTCTTGATGGTATTTTGTTTTCTGTTTCAAGTAACTCTTCATTGATGTACCAAAAAAGTGTTTTCTGATGAAATCAGGTAAATCAATACAGGAAATTGTTAAGATAGCTGAGAAATATGGAATACTTTACTTTCTGTGTAATTCAGCTAAATTACTTATCCTTTCTGACTGATGAATAATGCTCATGTGTCATATAGACTAAATCTATTACAGTGTACTTATTTTTATACCTTTAATGTTTTCTCATTTGTTTTTAAGTATCTTCACCTGTAACAATTTAAGCTGCCTGTCAGAGATAGGATAGCTATAATGTGTTAAGAAATTCTCTATGTACAGTCAGTCAACAATTTTTGCAGAGCACTTGTGTGTTGCTTGCTGGTGCTTTTTTTTCCCCACTGTCAAATGTCATAAGATGTTGTAAGGAATTATTTAAAATATATTTCTATTTATTTTTATCTTATGAATAAAATTTATTTTTGCAAGTTTTCTTAGGGATTAAAAAGTTTACTGGGTAGATCTCATGTCCTATTTCCATTCAAGTGATGTATAACCATTCACATACATATAGTCAAGATTCCACTGTTTTCTTCTGTGAAGTTGGCTAGTTCTGAGATAAATTATATACATATTTTTTCTTTTCTTTTGGATATTCTATGCAATGTTATGTCTCTAGTCTTCTGATGTCTGTTTTACATCCTGTTTCTATACACCTGACTTTATTAATATTGTGCTGTGCAATTCTGAATATTTTGAAATGAGATTACTGCGATGTAATTAAATATGGTGCTTCTTCCAAGACTGGGTCATAAATGAGCATTAAACCCCAAATAATTCAATGTAAATATTAAGCATTTATTTGATCTACAAAACAGAAAAATAAAAGAAGAGGAGCCAGATGGAAACTTGGAAGCTGTTTCGGTTATCTGTGTTATTTTCTGACAGCTAATTTTAATTTTTAAATTTTCTGATGTTAAATTCCTTTAAAAATTCTGAATATTATCATCTGCTATTGAATAGTACATTGGTGTTATACTTTAAAAAGTATATGAACCATAGTTTTAAAAGATGAATTGTGTGAATACAGTTTTTACATGTAGATTTAGTTAGTTTTATATTTGAATGTTTTTTATTAGTACTGTTTTCAAAGCAGGAAAGTTTGGAAAAGTTTGTGCAAGGCAAAAGACATGCTGTTTGTCTTGTCCTGACAAATGCTGACTACCAAAAAACCCCATTAGCTGCATTAGGGGATGTGGCTGCCAACTAGGAAAAAGCATAATATTTTTGATGTGCTCCATTCATCTTACTAGGATGCTACCTTTCAGATACTATAATTATAACCACTTAAGTACTGCTAGTCATAAAACCAAGCAAATTGTCATACCAGTATGATCTAGCTAATGAGCTTATATAGTTATAGCTGGAAGTAACTGTGTCTTGATGTTCCATTCATTTGGAAGGACATTATATGGTTTTGATAAATGAACTGTTTATTTTCCTGTGAGATACTTATTTCCATAAGAAATTGGCTAATCTTGAACTTGCATTTCTAGAGAGCATTTCTAAATATAAATCTATAACTATACCTATAAATATAAATAAGATCCAGAAGGCACAAAAATTTCAATGAAAATGTTTAATGACTTGGACTCATTTGAAATATCAATCTATCTGGACTTTGAATTAGTTTTGCTTCAGAAACATGATCTCTGATCTGCCTTGGAAAAAGGCAAGAAGTAATTCACTTTGTCCTGTGTGGATTTTCAGAGCCTATGGGAGTAGAAAATGAGAAGAAGAATGAAATGATTGATTAATATTTACAAATTTCTCACAAAATGTTAGATACTTTCCCAATCTAGAAGTTGTGGTTGTTTTTCAAAGGCTTTAATTCCTAAGTGATATAAACAAATGAAAGGGAGGAAGAATTATATTATTTGAATGAAAGTGACAACACAAAGAATAAAATGAAAAGTCAGTCTTACATTCCAGGAACAAATACCCCAAATTTTGTTAACATGCAGTGTTGCTCTAGTTGAAAGACCGGAGTATGCCTCTTGGTAATGTATCATAAAGTTCATTTTTGACTGGATTTTGATGACAGCCAAATTTGCCATCACCACCCTTACTATCCAGTATAAATTTCAGAAAATAATGATTATTTTTGTTATTAAAGTTTTTTATTATTAAAGTTTTATTTCTACTATGAAATACTGATTTCTTGAGCATGTTCAGATTAATGCCTTGCTGACTATTCAACCTTTGAGACATGCTAACAGTCTGTTGACACAGTGAGGTATCTTCTTCAGATACTGAGTAGCTATGAGAATAGTACGTCACTGTTGTGTGTGTTAGAGATTCTTTCCTGGGCTTGAACTTTTTTTGTTGTTCGGATTACATTGAGTCAGGCAAAAATTGGTTTTTTAGTGTTGACTTTGTTAGCAAGAATATCTGTTTTCTTCCATTAAAGGTAAAAATGCCTTTTTTAAAATGCTGTATTCTTAATTGGTGAGAACAAATATTTACTTCGTTTTATTTGGCTATTCTGGTAATGTGTGTAATGAAATATTTCAGTCTGCTTTACAGAAAATTTATATTTACATCTTACTATGTATGCATTTGTGTTTCAGTTAGTATACCATAACTATTATCCATGTGAATAATAAATATGTAAACATATTTACTGAATTGAAGCAGTCATTTCTGCCCTGACTCCTACTTTCTGCGTGTCTGCAGACACCAAAGACAATGTCACCAAAGAGGTGTTACTGATCAAAAACCAGTAATTAACAGGCGTGTAAAGTTTCCATTTGTAACTGTAGCATTTGATATCTGTTAAATTGGACATCTGTCAAACTGTAACATCTACCTAATACAGTATCATAATTTGCCATTATGAAGTTTCTAAAAGTAGTCAGAATAGAAATTACAGTAAAACAATGGAAGAACATAGATTGCACATATATGTAACTTATGATTATTAGACAAAAAAACCCCAGATTTTTAAACTAAAATACAAAGTTAGATCCATATGAGAAATACATAAAGGAAATATTTCAAAACTGCACCCATTATTGCCAAGCAAAAATCCATCAAGATGTATTTTCAGATTATGACTTACTGGTTTTTATGATCAGTTTTTCAGTGATTTCACGTTATTAGACTTATGTAGTAGAATCTTTAAAATACTGATTTTGACTGAAATACAAATAGTGAACAAACTTAGCTTGACTGGGTATCTAGTTAATTTTGGCAGTTCTAGATTTAGTCCAATATACCCACTGTTTCAGTGTGAATATTTGAAATCCATGTATGAGCTTAGTTTTCTGTCTTGGTAATTATACAGCATTAAAAAAAGGAGAGATCACATATTCCTAACAAAATGTGTTTTACATTTCTATTATTTGGGTTTTACTGTTAGAAAACTTAAGTTTAATTTATATACAATAACAACTTCTCATTCTTGCACCCTTTGTGTATCAAAACTTGACAGAATTGTCTTCAAGTTTCTAGAAATATTCAATTCATTAAAAAAGTAATTTTAAATAATCATAAAGAAGTCAAAATGTAGTTTTTAAAGCAATCAGCAAATACTGTAGTAAAAAGATATTTGTAATGGACAAGATGAAATAAAATCATAATTGATATTATTTCTATATAACACTGAAGCACATTGAGGAAAGCAAAAGATTTATCACTGTTTGCTTGAAGGCTCAAGCTTTGGAGAAAGTAATATGGAGCTGAAATTGATCAATTTACGTGGCACAACGCACTCAGTAAATAATTAGGATTTAATGATGGAAAATACCAATAACATTTTTCGAATGGTTGTATTCCCTGACTGCTGTCTGTTTTTTTCAGATTATTACCCTTACAATAAGGATAGGTATAAATTATAGCTTGCAAAGTTGTACTTTTTCCATGCTCAAATCTGTGATAGAAAAGTGAAAGTATTTTTTAGGGTTTGAAATACATAGGTGAATACAATTTTAACTTTACATTTGCAACTCATGGGATTTTCAATATTAATGATGTAATTTTTATTTTGTTTTTTTTTTTAATATCAAATTAATTATGGTGACTTGCAGCAAAACACTTAAAAAGGCTAGTACAAGTCTGGTTGTTTCTCAGTCAGAGAAGCAGTAATAATTTTTTGCTTTCCAAACATGTTTTCTTATACCAGTGTGTTGTGAAACTGTATTTACCATGTTTTGTATACATGTCCTTTAAACCACATGCAAAGGAGAAAATAAAGGCAATTCTTAAACTATAATTATTTTTCTAAAAAGTCTTTGAGCTGCACATGTGCTGATAATACACTTAAAAAGGACTGTCTTCTAAGTGGTTTTTTGCCTCAGAAAAGCTGTATGGCATTATAACTTGTCTAATGAAGTCTGTAAAGTCATTGTTGCTGTTGGGTTCACAGTATGCTAGCACTTGATCATCATAAAATATAATTTCATTTATATCTGGATTTGTTTTACTATGACAATTTGGAACTTCACTTGCAATGTTGTATGTGTGCCATGATGCAGGTATGTGTTGTCTATAAAACAATGAACAGTGATTTTGTGCAGCTTTAGAAATTACTTTTTAGGAAGGGAAAGAAATGCAATGTACTTTAGGAAGTAGTATAAGTTTTGAAAAGTAGTCTTCATTCTATTCTAGGGTGCTAAAAAGACAGGGAAATAAATCTGTTTTGAAGAATAGTTTCATTCTCCTTTAGTTTGATATTCCATTTATCTATTTTCATTTTACAGGAATCAAAAGGACCAAGATACTGAAAATGTGGGGTTTATAATGCAAAGAGCAACTCGACTTTAACTACTCTATAGTGGCACTATTCAGGCTGCTATAATAAAACTTAAGAACGTTTAGTGATTTTTTTTCCCTACAATTATTCAAAATTACATTACCCTTACTGAAAACTGAATGGCTTTTAGTGGATTAATTAAACTGTAGCTGGTTTGCCATCTGGGTGCTGCTTGTTTAGCTGCTTTCTCACATAAAGATTTTTCACTGAATAAAGGATATTTTTTTGTTAGAAGACAGCTGCCAGACAATTTTTAAAATAGAAATTATATATAGACTATTTATAGTTACCAGATTAAATTTTGCATTATGAAGAGGAAACTACTTGGACATTTCTTTCCAATTTTCAATTTATTTTCATTTGTCCTCACACACCCCAATACCCTCACATTCCATGTTGGAAAATGCACAGGCTCTTAAAATATAAAATCTGTTTTTAAATGTATGAGAAAATAATTATATTTTACAGCAAGATCACCCATGACATTATGTTGGAGTCCAGGGTATAGGCTAGATGCAGAAAAGAAAAAAAAGGGAGGGGGGAATTAACTAAATCTGATTTTTATGGCTCAAGTGGTTTCATTAAATTAGAGTGCTGTGTGCTACTGTTCATTAATGAACTTGTGCCATATGCTTTAACTGTTCTGGTCAATAGCTGATAAAGAAAGGCTTGTGTTTAAAAAAAAATGGATAAAAATATCTTTGTGATGGGCTTTTATCAAAGGACTTACTTTGAATTCAGTAACTACTACTGAGGCAATATGGCTCGCAATTTGCGACCCAAAGGTAGTCATACATTATTGGAATACAGCCTACTGCGCTTCACATTACACAGATGTGAAGGCCTGATTATAGCTGCTTCATAATTAACAGTGATCCGATTTGTTTTGTGGCATAAATGGTGCATGTGTAGAACATTAGCCATGGCACTCTCATTCAAATTCAACTCAAGGGCTCAGCGGCAGGCGGGTCACGAGCTTCAGGGAGTAGAAGCACAAGCTCCTCCATATGTTCTTGCTGCATCTTACTATGGCTATGAGTGCAAGATAAGTTCCCCAAAGAACCTAATCGTGTTCTGTAATTACAGCGCTGCTTTCTGCTGGCTAGAAATGAGGGAGAAGCTAAAACACTCCCTCATCAGATAATTTGTAAATTACTTTACATGGCGGATGCCGAACTCAGTTGGTTTTCAACTGCTGAAATTATAAATAATTGTAACAGATGTGGCAATATGGCTGGCCTCCAATAAATGAGGCCCTTGATAATTTGGCCGACCCTTTGACAGGCCAATTTAATAAAATGTGAACAAAATCTTCTTGCTAATAATTTATCATCCCTTTTCCCAATAGAATAAATTTAATTACCCTAGCAGTTAACAAGGTCACACCCAGATGCCAAACTCGGCTACAGTTTTGATAATGCAATCAGGAATTGAGAGGTGATGACAGCGTTGTTGTTTTTTTCATTACCTGGCTTCACATAAACACAGGTGGCGTAGCTTTCTTGTCAGTTTTTAATAATTACAGGCTATTATGGAATGCATAGTTAGCAGATTGAAAACCACACTTTAGTGAATTTGTTTGAGTATGATTGAGGTTCTAATGTACAGAGATGATAATGCATAACAAGCGCAGTCCCTAGTTTGCACCATTAGTGCACAGGTTTGATTTTTACTTGTGATAATAGTGTAATAGTTCAGCAGACAACAAAGTTGCTTTTTTTTTTGGACCAGCCTCACTGTTATATAAAGGTTTATATATATTTTTTCTTTGCATTGCTGAGACTCAGTAAAGACTCAGAAAAGTGTTCTTCTTTAAACTTACCTGGTAACTTCGAGTATGGAGATAAATCTATATCTGTCTGTCTATCTAAAGATAGTTTCAAATCTTTGAAGAAAGACTGTCTTAATTTTTGTATATTTGGTCTAGTTAAATTGTCTGGTAACTTTTTCATAAGCTTTTTAAAAACTAAAATGCTACAGAAAATGCTGTAAGAGCTCTTAAGAAAAAAGAAGAAAAAACTATAATACTTACTAGAAATTTCTAAACCACAGTTAGAAGGCTTTGTTCCAAAAGTATAAGATATTTTAATCAATGTTTACTTGGGCTTCTGTAGTCTTACAGTCTGTTTTTAATATTTACTAATTATAATGTATTAGAGCAAATAGGACTGATGTTTTCAACTTTTGCTTGCTGTGCTATGATCATTTTTATGGAAAAAGATCCAGTTTTATTGTACTTGCTACTAAAAAGTTGCCAGTTCAACAAATGCACGAGGAAATGTGTGGCTAGTTTGACAGAAAGGCTTAATGAAATCCAGCCTTGTCTTTACTCTTTCAATGATGATTCTTCTAAGTGTTTTTTTCCAGACTATGAAGTGGTGTTCTTGTCTTGTAATTGCATATTTTTCCCAATAATTTGGAGCATAAATTGTATACCAGGACGTGTAATCCTCTTGATGAATAAAATAAAATATTCATATTGGGTTTGCGAAATGTTTCTGATGTAGTGGCCACATGGTCTTCACAAAGGAATTGCATCCTTTTTTCAACTCCCTGTTCTTTTGTATTAGATGATCAGAGTGTTCTTTTTCCTATGATATAAATCATGTGAATTTAGGAGGATGGCAAATCTAGGTCTTATGAGGGTGAATGGATGGTGGATACCCTTTTTCTGACTTGTAGGACATTTTTACAGCTCAGGGGGACATGAGATCAAGGTCCAGGCTGGGTAAGTTGTTCTTCAAGACTTGTTGCCCATCTTAGATGTATTTGCAGTGAATAGACATGAGGCTGTGACAATGGGATGCCCAAGCTGCAGAAATGAGTTAGCAAAGGATGCTGTAGTGAGCGCTGTCTGTGACTTAGCAGCTGTCTAACTCCGTAACAGAGTAACAGGAAACTCCTTCTGATAATTTCATTCATTATGTCTTTTCTTGGCATATGACATTTGATTCCAGATGTTTTGACTGAAGAAAACTTTTAGGTATGTGTCATAGTCTAGTTAGGTGCCATAGGTCAAAATTACTGTTTTCCTAACTCAGTTGTTCTGGTAATCTTGTACACCTGTTTTCTGGTCTGAGCTGTATGTCTAAACTCTGCTCTGTTTCTGAGACTTTAGCTTTTACTAAGCTGACTAGTTTGAAGCAGAGTTGAGCTTGCATCTTAGTCACAGAAAGACTGTCCAGGCTCTTTCTGTCCTCTCCTAGCCCAGAGTGATGGTATAGTGCAGTTGGTCTTAGCACAGCTTTGTGCTGAGAAAGCTGAGCACAAGCAGGCATAAGGACGTTACACATTAGGCTTTGTAATTAGTCCTGAAGCTCTTAGGTATCCATTCCTTCGGTACCTACTCTCTTTTGCCAGTGTAGAAAAGTCACGCAGAATAGAAATATAATGGAGCATAGCTGTATTTTTTCCATATTGTTTGTACTACTTTTAATAGGTGACAACAATGGTATTGATTCCCTTCTGTGAGTCCAGTGGATGTTTTCCCGTATACTACAGGTTTCTTACAAAGATGGTGCTTGTGCTTCAACTTGATTAATGCATCTAGAAAACAATAACCAGAGTCTCACTGTGAAAAGACTTGTAAGAGTAGTGAGATATCTGCTTGATAGATATAAATATTTTCTTGCTTGTATTTGTTGTTTAAAACATAAATTCAAGTTCTGACATTTATTTTGAATATATATTTTGCCTCTAAGGCACCACATTTCAGTATCACAGTAGACACATGATCTTTCGTAAAATAGTATGTGGTGTAAACTGATTTTGCTGTGTGAAAGAGGAAACTGTTAATCTGTGAAGCTTGTAATACAGTTGGACTCTAAGATGCTTAAATCTTAAAAAAACCTTATTTACTGCACTCAGCATGTAGATGGATAGACTGTGAAGAGAGTCACCATTATGTGTACACTGAAATGATTGTCTCATAAGAATTTTAGATTTAGACATAGGATTCAGAATAGACTGTAGGAAGTGAACTTCATGGATTTCTCTACTGAGTTACTTTGTGTGTTATTATTTCAGTTCATAATATGAAAGATGATAATTCTAAGGCAGAAGCTGTTGAAGAGCCTAGTGCTGCTTCTCAGACTGCAATTTTCTGTATTGCAGATTTCTGGTCTTTATTATGAAACTGGACTCCATCCTTCATACAGACCTCGGACATTGACTGATTTATGTAGTCTTGAAACTCACTATTCTGTTTTTTTTTTCCTTGATAGTGTTAAGATTTTAAAGTCATTATTCCATTATAGCCAAAATATTTGCCATTTTGGCCTTAGTATTTGTAATACTTCCCTTAGTTCTTAGATTACAGATTAGAGTTTAGATGTAAAAAATGAAAAGCCAAGAAAAGATCACATCTCTCTTTGAGGCTCTGATGGAATTGCATTTCACAGAATCATAGAATGGCCTGTCTTGGAAGGAACGTAAAGATCATCTAGTTTCACCCCTCTGTGTCCATGGGCAGGGACACCTCCCACTACAGCAGGTTGCTCAAAGCCCCATCCAACCTGGCTTTGAACACTGCTGGGGGTGGGGCATCCACAGGTTCTCTGGGCAACCTGTTCCAGTGCCTCAGCACCCTCACAGAAAAGAATTTCATCATAATATCTGATTCAAACCTCCCTCTTTCAGTTTGAAGTCATTGTCCCTTGTCCTGTCACTACATGCCCTTGTAAAAATGCCACTCTTTCTTCATGTGCTGGTCTTCGAACTCTGGTTTGCTGAGTGTATACAGAAGAAGTTGGTTGTTCTCATAGTAACCAAATCTTTTCACTAAATAATTTGGGTTTAATAATTTTTAATAATTTATTTTTTGCTCTTAATCCAAAGATACTTGACTACAGAAGCCTAGAAGTATTAAATTAAATTGACATGAATCCAAACCAAAACACAAGCGAGAGAAGTTTCACCCAGCTTTCTGTCTTGGAAAGATCTGCTTTCTTGTCTCAAAAGTTAATGTTTAACATTCTCTTATATTTGAATAAACAAAGTCTTTAGGCTAGGAAAATTAGAAGAATATTTATCAATTATTCAAAGATATGTTAAATTTAACAGAAAATGATGCCAAACTTCTTTTGAGCTGGAGTGCACTGATGAGCATTACTTTTGTTTTTAAATTTATTTCATCAAAAATTTCACAAGTATACTTAAAAAATTGAGCAGTTTTTGAGGATATTGTAGACCCAAATTCTATAGGTAAGTATGTTTTGGTAACAGCAATCTACTGAATATTTTAAGGCAAAAGCATAGGCATTTTGGAGGTGTTAGTTAAGATCTAAGACTTAATTTGTTGGATTTAGTTTTCCAATAAATATGTTTCTATAGCCATGTGGACAGAGACTGTAAGGGTTTTATTAGAAAATAAAGTAAATTTACCATAAATTTACAATAAAAATACGGTATTTTATTTAAAATGTGTATCACAGCATGGCAATTTCTAGGAATCTCTTTTGGAAGAAAAAAAGAATAGGAAAATAACCTCAAAGAAAATTAAAAATAATATTGTTCATATATTGGTCCTACTAAAGTCAATAGCAGAACCTGCATGACATGGAGGAGCAGGTTTTGATGTAGTCTGTGACTAATGCAGTGAACTTAAATGGAATTGTTTTAAAGTAATCAGTATTTCATTTTTTTAAACAAGAAAATAAAAAGTAGTGGTACAGTAAGAAGTTAATAATTAGCGAAATTTCTGTAATTCTTATGGCTTAAAAGCAGCAGGAGTTGGACTCGAGGATGTTAAAGGTCCTTTTAAAGTTAGATAATTCTATGAGCACTTAACAGGTGTAGACTTTTTAAAGTAACAATAATGTGAATTTAAATTGTTGTGACAGATTGAAGTTGTTGACTCTTTTTTGAGTTACTAATATAGTTCTAAAGCTTGTGTTTCACATGGAGCTCTTCTTTTACATGTAGCTGAGAAATCAGTAAGATGTGTGTGTCAAGTTGTTAGGTGTATTTCTCTTTTATAAAAAGAAAGAGTAAAGTTCAAGTAATAAAATCAATTCCAGACCCTGAGTATAACTACATTTTCCTTGTCTACTGACACTATTTCTGTCTTCTCAGTTTTATTGGAATTTTTTTTCGTTTTTGTATAGTGCTCAGGTTTTGTTCATACAAACATGAAGTCCAGCTTTCTTTAATGTATTCTTTTGATTGCATGGCTTGTCTACTCCTCATTTTCTTGGTTTTTTTTGTTTTTTTTTTCCCCATGTGTTAATGAGCTAATGGTTATAAGCAGGCATTTTACTGATCATAGGTGGTAATGACATCTGTTTGCATCCACATATGGCCTAAACTATGCAAAATGAAGAACAGAATGTATTTAAGGAACAGTCAGCAAAAGCACAGGCAACTTTTACTGTCTGACAAATTTCTTATACTTATTTCGTATACTGCTGTATGAAGAGTTGAGGTTTCTCTATAAAAAAGTGCTCTTTTAATTTATAATTTATTTGTTGAAATAATAAGTTTATCTTAGGCTTTATGAAAAGCATATTCTGTATCAATAAAATGGCTGTGCCCATTTGTCTGTTTCTGACAAATACCAAGCTTACTAAGGTGTATGCTTGATTGATTTTAATCAGCTTTGGACCACTTCACTTCTTGATTGGCATGAATTTGGAGATTTATTTACTTAACCTTTTTTTACACTGCTTTTTGTAACTTTTGTCAGTATACCTGACTTTTTTTTTATTTGGGGAATACCAGTATTTGAGATCACAGTGCCATGTGCAAATTGTTCCAAATTTTATCTTCTCTTCTGAAATGAGTATTTGTGTTAAGAATATGCGCAAACAGTTTCAATGTCAGGATCTTGTTAATAAGGGATAAAATAAAGCTTCTAGTTAGTCTTAAGAATGTGGATCAAGTTTGTTGATTGAAGAGTTTACTGCTTGCCAGCTGCTCATCATTGCTGTCAGAACACCACTGGCAATAGTTTCATGAGTTTCTTCTCATCAAGGCAGTCCAAGGTCAGCTCAAGCCACTTCCATTGACTTTTAAACTACCCATCCCTTTTAGATATGCAGTCAGTTAGGGAGGCTGTTTACATCATTTCTTCTCCAGCAACGGCACTGAGGTGTTAACCTCCAGCTATCTGGATGCATTGCCCGTGTGGGAATTATATCATCTTTGTCTGGCACAGTTGTTAGAAGATGAGTATCTGTCCCCAGCCCTATGGCACTGAGGATGAGGTTTGAGCTAAAGCATTTTACTTTGTGATTGCCATAAGGTGACTCAACAAGTATATTGCTGCTGCTTACACTAAGCAAAGAAATTTTGTGGTTGTTACAGAGGGGAGTGTGATCACACCAGGTGATGAAAACACAGCTGACAAGGAGTCAGTTGTCAAGCCATGGTAACGTGAGAGCTCTTGGACATGCATACATGAGCTTGATACTGCATATCGGGGATATAACTTACAGGAGCTGCTACCAGTGAAATGGTAATGTCCTCTCTGAAGAGGTTTGGTAGCTAGTGTAAGTTGATCAGTATGCAGCACCCTTGTATTGTGCCAAGGAATTGCTGCACATGGATTGATATCTAGGAAAGGTCCTGGAATTCAATGGTTTAACAAAATAAAGTACTAACCTTGAGCAACACTGTGAGCTAGAATATATTTTTTTCTTTATGTCTTCAGTTTGACCACAACACTCGTGCTGTCTAAGGAAGTTATGGCTATAAGTTGTAGATTTACAGTAAAAAAGCACTTTTCTGAAGCAGTTATTAACTAACAATATGTTTAGTTCCAGAATATGCAGTTAAGGTTTTTTTGTTAGGCCATTGATACTTGCAACTTGAAGTTCCACTAGAAACAAGTCCAGAAGGTGCAATATTTTGTCAAGAAATTGAATAGCATGTGACATACAAAATAGCGTCTAATAAGTAGAATAAGTTACTGCAGAAGAAATGTCTGTATAAAAAAACAGTTGTTAAGAATGTAAATTTAGATTTAAAAAATGTGGTGGTCAAAAAATGTTTCCATAATATTTTGAGATCTGGTTTTGATTATGGATTCATGAGTCATGTGAGAGCAGAATTGTTTGCAGCCTTTACATGTTTCCGTAATATTGTTAATATGTTTCTCTAGGCAGTTTTATGTAGATTGTGTGTTATGCATCTGATTTTTTTGTTACCAGTATGATATACCTGTACTATCATTTTCTAGGTATTGCAACAGCCTTTAAGTCTGCTAGAGACTATATTACTATGCAAGAATCAGAAATGGAGCTTTTACAGAAAAAATTGAAGGAAGTGGATCTTAACCTAGCAGAGCATAATTTGTACACTACAGATACACTGGAAAGCAGCAATATAAGGACTGGAAGAAAGCACAAGGTAGGGTACTTTTATTGTCTGGTGTATTTGTGTGTAAGTCAGGCTGGTGAAGCCAAACATTTTTGCTCAAGGGCCCAGATAATAATTTTAATATCTATTGACGCTGCTTATAATTCTGGAAGCTTGTTTGAATAGTTCCTGTGTTATCTGCCAAAGACTTGTTAAAATAGCTGTTGGGAGTAGAAGGTTTTACCTTATTAAATACTGAATAAGGGATTCTTAATTAAATGAACTATTTGCAGGATAAATTCTTTGTAGGTTTGCTAAAATGAATATTTATCAGATATTTTGTGATGTTTATTAGAATGACCATCTTTCACTGTAAGTGAAGTGAGAGAAATACAAATGGTTATTGTTATTATTATTATTATTTTTTGAATGAAAAATATTTTTTCCCAAATTCTTGACTTTTAGAGTGGAATATAGTGGTTTTTTTCTAGGAAGAATGACATCAATGTCCTTTGAAGTTTATACTTTCAGCTCTATAGAGTGCCAAATTGCCTCTTTCTTAGAATCTCACTCTTTGATTTAGGTATTAAATAAAAATAACAAAACCTATAAGCTATAGCAAATGCATGACATCTGTAAAAAATGCCATTATTTAAATAGATCTATTAAATTAGATGAAATCATGTTGCTTTTCATTGTGTTCAGACTCTTCCTCATCTATTTTTTATAGTGATTGTATGGAGTATGGGAAACTGTTAACAAGGTTTCAAAGGTGAATGTGATTCTGAGTGGTATAAATAATGTACAAGGGTGGACCATCATGTCCATTTAGTCTGAAATCTTGTAGTTTATCCGAATATGGTATCTCATAACATTTTCTTTAAAAAATGTATAGCTTGTTCTTTTTTAATGATCTATACTGTATGTTAGTTTTGGGAAAAGATACACTTTAGAACATTTCTTCAGGAGCATGTGGTGGGCATTTCTGTGAAAATGTGCTTAATAAAAAACAAAATGCTACACAGGCAGTACAGACTGAAGAACACAAGGTAAGAAACAGCCTGGCAAATGTGAAGGTTAGGAAGGAGGAGAGGAAGGAGTAGCTTCATGTGCTGGAAACAGTTATTTCTCTGCCGCCCAGGGAGAGGATCACTGTGGAGCAGATGTCAATAATACAGCTTGTGGAGGAGCCCAGAGCCAGTGGAAATTTGCTCATGGAAGCCACAGCTTGTGGAGGGGAGAAGATGCTGGGGCAGGTTCCTCTCTTACATGAACTGGTCTACACAGACCATGGAAGACCTGCTGTGGAATAGGTTTATCCTGAAGGACTCAGGCCTGTGAAGAGGCTGTGTGTGGGAGTAAGAGAAAAGTGTGAGGAGGAAAGAATGGCCCAGTGGGAGCTGTTAAGCATTGATTGTGAACCTTCTGCTTGCATGGCTCAGCAGATGTTAAAAGAGTCAGGAGCAATGGAATGAAGTTATGCCTGGGAAGCTGGGAGCTTCTTTTGGATACAGAAGATGGTGTTAATTTTTTTTTTTCTTTATTTCTTACAAGCTAAATATATTCTAAGTGACAATAACTGAAATAGATTTTCTTCATGTTGAGTCAGCCCATCATGCTGAGTGGTAAACACCCAAGCTTTATCATCCTGTTTTCTCCTGTCCAGTGGGGAAGGAAACTGGGAGACCAGTTGAGTGGGTGTTTGACCCTTTGCCAAGGTTAGCCCTCCACAGTGTCTTTCTCTGTTTCCTCAGGGGAAAGTAAATGAGATTGCTGTGTTCATCATGAACTGTGTCAAAATAAAGCAATTACACTGCCTTGAGTAAAATTAAATACAAATTTTAAAGCCTATTGTAGAAAATCTCTTCCTGTTTTGATATATAGGTCTGAGTCACGCTCTTTCAATAGTCAAAGCTGTTTGATATGTTCACTTTTTCACAGGAGCACACAAGTTTCTATTAAAACTTTGGGAACTCAATTGACAAGCTCCTTTGTACAAAGGCAACACAGTAAGTGAAATTGTGGAAATACTCTGGATTTTCTAAAATGGAGAAGGCAGTATTGCTGTGGTAGTGCTTTACCCTTTACCCTTTTCCTTTTCAGTGAAATATCTTCTCATTCCCTTGTTTTTCAGCCTTTTATGACAAAATCATTACTGTCAGAAGCCATTAGTGCATGATTTGACAGGAAGAGCATGTGGGATATTCAATGTTTGTTTTAAAAAGATGATCCTTTTGACTTTAGAAAGACTGTTGTGCTGCCCTTCATTCCTCCTTACGTACATTCCCAGGATACAAAAAAGAAATGAGCATGGAATCACTTCTGATCAGAATGACACTGCTTTAATGACTTACTGCTCTAAAATGGTTTCAAAGGCTTTGAAAGAAGGAATAGTTGGAAAGGTGTTGAAAAGAAGAGCATGGTACAAACAGAAATTTGGCACTACTGCAATAAATTGAGATGTATGGCCACATGACTGCATGCTTCCGGCTCTGTTTATATATGCAACAGCATAGATGCTTCTATAGCCTTGTGTTGGTTTCTTTGTGAGTTGCAGAAATCTACATCCCTTGCCTAGAGTTGTTCTGAGTAAAAGAAACAGCTTATTCTTTGAGAGGTGTTTAAAAGCTTTGTTAAATGTGGTTGTGATGTCCTGTTTCATGCTATTGTTAAGTGTGCATTTAGAGGCAGTTGTCACAATCATAATTCTGTTTATGTGAAAAGTGGTGTACCTGAATGCTGTTGAGTATGAAGACTTAGGAGTCAGTACTTGACCTTCCTAGAGCTCTTTTTGGAACTTAAACTTTGTGAGCAATAGATGATTTCTGTTAGCTGATTAAACTGCCATTCATGTGTCTGCTGGCTAATTCAATATGCTTTTGTGGTTTTCTTGTAGCTAAGCTTTTCCATGGTATGGTGCATGGGAGTTAGAATTGCCTTTTATTCATGTACATTCTGTATCATTCTTCTCAGTCTCTAGTGCCAGGATACTGAAAGATATGTGTTAACTTTGCAGTACTAGTAAAGTTCCTGTTGAAACATAGCAAATCAAGAATTTACCATTTTTCTTTCTATAAACCCCCACCTCTATCTGGTCAGTCTTGGGTTCAGTCTAAACTATGTTTCTGTTTCTTCAGTTGATAAAGACCTTAAGATTTCTGCCCACTGTCCTCAGAGCTGTATCTTGGCAGTCATTGATATCAAGCCTGTACAGAAAAAGTACTCCTAAGACATTACAGGAGGAGTTCTGACTTTCCTACTTTGGTTTGGGTTTTTTGGTTGGTGTTTTTGGGTTTTTTTTGGGTTTTTTTTGGTTTGTGTTTTTTTTGTTTTGTTTTGTTTTCTTTACTTTTTTTGGTTGGTTGTTTTGGGGGTTTGCTTGTTTGGCTTGTTTTGGCACTGTATTCAACACGAAACCCGTTGAATTCAAGAACGTGACTATTTTCAGTTTCATCCCATGGTGTCTTTCATTGTGCAGACAGGTAATAGAAAGTTGTCTAGAAATAGGCCTATTTTCTTTTTCTGCTTGTGTGTGTCTCCATTATCAGTTAATGTGTGTCTCATCCACTTACCTGCTATTTCTTTATGCTAAATCTTCTGTCACAAAGTTTCATATATATTATATACTAGAGACTCTGTTTATTTCTAGTTTTCTGCTATTTAGTTTAGTCTTCAGTAAAAATGTTTAGGGAACATTCAATGAAAAATATTCTGATCTGAATTCCTTTACTGACTTGGATTAACAATCTTCACTGATAAGATTGGAGGGGTTTTTTGCTCCTAAACATGCATAAAAATTTTGAAACATTACATTTTGAAACATTATATACATTTCAGTATATATTTAATAGAGGTACGTTAAAATTTTTCTGTAGAATTTGAGGACTGAATTAAAAATTTAATGTTTATATTTGACAGCAGCAAGAGCAGTAAAGTTTGCACTTGTGAGAAGATTTTTACAGATGCCTTCTTTCAAACTGAGTTTTGCAGCAGCCCCAGGCAATCCAATTATAGTGTATTTTACACAGTCTCCTTTGTCTTGATAGAACTCTTTACCTCCTTAGCAAAGATTGAGCGCAAACTACCTATGTGCCACTGAAAAGCCCAGATCCAGCACCCTTTCTCCACAGACCTTTAGTCTGATCACTAAAAGGGTGAAAGTAATAGAATGTTCTTAATACATATCACCAATCCCATCCACAGTCACAGGGAATCATTTCAGTATCCATAAGTAGCTAAAGTTTTATCATTTTTTTCATATTCCTTGGCTCTGGCACATTCCCAAATAACTCTGTATGTGTGTGTAATATATATATGTATCTATACACATATATATAAAAAGTCTCAGGTACTCATTGTATCTGATCAGCTGTGACTAGACTAGCAAGACAGTGAATTTTCTTTTTCTGTATTTTTCTTCTCTTTTCTCTGTTCCTTCTCAGGTTATCTCTGCCTATTAATTCTTAAAAGTCTGGTGCTGGTTGGTCCACTCCTTGTCCACTCCTTTTCCTTTGTTGTCCTGCACTTCGGCAGCCAGCCGAGTGCTTTGACCTTCTACTTCTGACTTCAGAGAACCTGTGTATATTCCAAATTTTCTCTATAACAGGATAAAGTTTACCTAGAAAATAATTATTGAAAAATAATGCATAGTACAGTCATACATATACTATGACTGTATATAATGATTGACGAATGTAGAAGGTAGGTTGGGTTTTGGTTGCTTTTTTTTTAAAGCTCTTCATTTTATTTACAAAATCTAGGACTTTGAAGATGATTATATTTTTTGTATTTGGATTTTAATGCACTAAAATTCTTTCCAGATGTTAGTTCTGGTTCGGTTTTGGTGGTTGGTGTTTTGTTGGTTTTTTTTTGTTTTTTTTTTTGTTTTTTTGGGGTTTTTTTTTGTTGTTTTTGTTTGTTTGTTTGTTTGTTTTGTTTTGGTTGTTTTTTTTTTGGTTTTTTTTTTAGGGGGGAGTGCGGTGTGTGGGTGTTTGGTTTGGTTTATTCTTGGGGTTCTTTGGTTTTGAATTGTTTTGGTTTTTGGGTTGTTATGCTTTTTTGGTTTGGTGTTGTTTTTTTTTGTTTTGTTTGGATTGGTTTTGATTTTGGTTGGGGTTTTTTATGAGGGTAACACTTTTTCTAAAAAAAATTTTGCTTGATTGTTTGTTGAACTTTCTCATGTCTCTTTCGGGTATCTGTCATAAGTAAAAGAATCCTGAAATCAAATGACAAAACCATATTGGAAATATTTACATTAATAAATATAAATATAAATATAAATATAAATATAAATATAAATATAAATATAAATATAAATATAAATATAAATATAAATATAAATATAAATATGAGATGCTGCAGTTCTCTGGTATTTTGTGATACTTTTTTTTTCTTCTTTTTAGAAATCCATATTATTTAAAATGAAAATGGTATATGATGTCTTATAAATATTTCATGCTGCAAGATAGTGGTCAAAGATAAAAATATAAGTTGCTAATTAAGATACTCTTCAAGATTAAATTAATTTAATGGACTAGTGAAATATTGATATCTACAGTATTGAAGAAGAATTTATCCCTTTTATTATATATCAGTGTTTTCCCAGATAAAGTGGCATAATGCAACAAGAATAACCACAATTTACCTTAAGTTTCTGTTTGACTTTATGTGTTGGCACAACTGTATTTTGTCTGATTGGCATTAAGTGTGTGTTGGTATTTCACTGTTCTTAACCAAAGTTATTCCAAAAATCTGAAAGTATAATTTTATGAGGCCTTTCTTTCTCTGCCATAAGGACATATGACATAGGGTGAACAAGAAAGCTGCCCAGTTTAAGTGTTACTTTCACATACTCTTTCTCCAGATTGCTGTATGAAGCTGTACATAATATAAACACATATTCTTGTCTCTAGTTAGTCACATTATAGTTAATGACCATATGGTCATTATGGTATAAGATCTACTGTCTGTTGTATTTATATTCCTCAAGCATATTGTTCCTTCAACTTCACAGTGTGTTAAACTATTTCAAAGGGAAAAAAATCCTTTCCCTCTTGTTTCTGGTTGTCCTATCAAGTGTAACCTTGGACCCTTATAGAGCAATTAGACCAGCCTCTATCCCCTCCTTTGTAATGAGGTTTCTTGCATTTCTGAGTCTATAACCCTTTAGTCTTCCCTAATGGGACATCATTATTCTGAAAGAAACAATGTAAATGTAAATGAATATTCTCATTAACGAGTCACAGAGAAACCTTTAGTGGTAGCGCTGTGGTAATTCTGCTTGTTATTTCTCTGGTATTCCATGCAGATTTTTTTTTTTATAATTCATTATTAGTATTCAAAATTACTTCTTCTTTAATTCTGCATGTCTTTCATAATCCGGTGTTCCAACTAGTTCAACCATGTCCTTGTTTTATTCTCCAGGAACCACCTGTGAAATGTTCAAGGTCTCTGTCCCCAAAGAGCTCTTTTAGAGAGTCAGAGGAACTAAAGCTTAAAATAGCTGAGAGGAAGATTGAAAACTTAGAGAAGACATTACAGCTAAAGGTGAACATTAAATAAAAATAAATAAAAAGCCTGCTAGCTATAAGCTTGCATAGATAAAGATATACCAAAACAAACAGACATTTTAAAAATTAAAAATACACATACTTTTATGGACTGTAATCTCTTTGCATCAGAGTACTCTCCATTAGTTTACCTTTTTGCTTTACAGCGTGAGTAATCTTGTAGTCCTGTGGAAGCTTAATTGAGCTGTCATCAATAACACACACTTGTTAAATACATTTTCAACGTTTGTGTTTGAGTATATATATTCTGAGAAATTAATGTGTTCATATGAAGCAAATTAGAAAGTAGAAGCACTGAAAGTACAAAGACTACTTTTCTGTACAATAAAGCCACACTTTAAAATGCTGAAGTCAGTAACTTAAAAAAGTTTGACCCCTGGAAACTGTTTAAGTTATGGTTCAGTTAGTTGCTGGTCTGAAAGATCCTGGCCTAAAAGATGTTTAAAAAAACAACAATCCTGCTTTGTAGAAATTCTTAATTGAGCTTGTTTCACAATTGCTCATTTTGTCCCTGTTTCACATATTTTTGTAGCTGTGTTTTTGTTGGTTTGGTATTTTGCTACAGACATACAGTAACTGTTGAACAAACTGTTGGTTTAAAATTGCACCTCTGAACACAAAATGCAAACCCTGAGTCATATTTTCTTAAACACTTAAAAATCATCCTCTTCTTTCCTCTCCTCCCTTTCCTCCCTCACCTTCTCTTTTTTGTGTTGCTTATCGTTGTTCAGTTATGGAATTTGAAGGGTATTTTCAAGTATGTGTCGCCTAAAGGAGAATTGGTTGTATTGAACGTCTTGTGATAAAAGTTCTATAAGTGAAAAAATTTGGAAGTTCTACCAACCATAGTGATAAGTTAATTTTAGAAAAACTGTAAGTGGGAAGTATATTTCAGCAAAATGCCACAGTTCATCCATCTGTATACTTGGGAGAATTTAAAGTATTGTCTTAACATATGTAGAGTATATGAACAGGAGAGGTTATTTAGACTTCAGATTCAGTCTCCAGGTTGTCTTGTTCCTGGGAGACAGAATATTAATTTGTTTTGTTTTTTCTCTCTGTTGAGAATTCTATGGTATGTACCACCAGCTAAACCTGAGAAACTGGCCTTTGGGAGGCTTCCTGTCCATTACTCTTACTTGGCCTGCCTGACGCTGATGTTGCAGATTATTCTGGAACTGTAGGCTGCAGCTGTTCTGTTCTTGGAAGCAAAACACACTTCAGTGTCTATGGCTATTGCCTTAAATGATAGAGAGCTACACATTTCTTCTGGAAGGAGGAGTGAAGGAAAGCAGATGCAGAAGAGAAACAACTGTCTGTGAATAACCTCATATAATAATTTGTACCATTCACCATAGTGCCTTTGCTTATCTTCTATTTAAAGTATAAATTAAAAATTTGTGCAGCTTTATGATGTTACAGGCATGGTATCTCTATCACAGACATCCATGATGTCTTTAAGGGCTAAAACTCCCCTTGAAAGTGAACACATTAACTTCTTGCATTTACTCTTGAAAATCTACATGGCTTGTTTTGCAGAATGCTTTACTGGGTTGAAAAGAAGCTGTAGAGGCCCAGGCCATCATAATTAACACTGTTGTGGCACTACATTCATATTTCAATGAGGCTACTGTTGGCATGACAGTGAACTAAGCAGTCATAAAGTTAATATCAGAACATTTCTGTTGCTATTCTGTGATTTCTTAATGCTAGCCTTCTCTCAGGCATTGTTTCCAGTACTGAAAAATGGATTTGACCCACATTTTCAGAACTGGTCCTTCATTACTGCCTCTTCAAACAAACTGTTGTTAATATGATTACTTGAAATTTTCTTGCTCAGAAAAATGGTTGCTCTGTCAATACACACACACTAATAATGTCTAGAACATGAAATGGTGACTTTATACATTAGTACTTTCAAAAAATTGGTAACATTAAAAAAAATAAAAAAGAACAGGTCTATTTTTGGGGTTTTCAGGAATGCCCCTGCCCCAGTCGGTATTGCAAAGGAGCGGAAAAGGTCAACCATTCACAGGTTTTTCCAGTTCTCGCAGCTGACTCATTTCTTAACAAGAAAAGTTCACTCTTAGTATCTTCATTGCTTCATCCATAAATGGGATGATCATTTAAATTCAGAGTTTTTACACAGAATTGGCTTTGTTTCTGGGCATACTAAAAAGTAACAGAGCATGTCTGATTGCACCCTTGGTTATGGAAGAGAACATCTAAATAAATAAGAGGGGGTTTTTTGCTTTTAAATAACCAATTATTAAGCTGCTATTTGGATTGGTCCAAAGCATATGTACTTCAATCTGCTATGGGTCTTTAAGAAGTGGGTAAGAGTTTGATTGTTGAGAAGTAGGTATTTGATACAAACAAAGAGTACATTGATCTTCTCCTGTATTGCTTCTAGAGCTGTGATCGCTGATGTAACCTAGGGGAGATAATCCTGGCTTTAACTGGAAAGGTCTCAAAACCAAGAGGAGCTTCTCCTTCTGAGTTTTCTCATCCTTTTTAGGTTCTAAAATTTTTGGAGGTAAATAAAACTAGAATGTGCACACCAGTCTTTAGGGCCACCTTAATACTGGTTTGTGTCAGCAAGACCACACTCACGTTTACCTCTTATTTCATACACAGTCCTACTCCATGTATAGTGTTCAAATACTGAAAATGGATGAACATTGCATCATATCCACATAACTGTGTTGGAAAAAACTATTTTTCTAACTATTAGGGGCCTCAGATCTTGTAAGCCTAAGCACAGTCAAATAATTGAATCAGTGTAATTTTTAAAATTTCCTTTTTACTGTAATAGAAGGCCAACTTCAATAACAATTTGAATTAGTGATTAGAATCTTTTGACTTGTCTGAGCAGCCTGCAAAAAGGAAAAAAGGCATAGGCAGTTCAATCTGCTTTTCCTCCTGCAGACTGAACTTTGTGTTACTGTTATTCATTATTGCATGGGAAGTACTATGGATGACAGTGGGCAGCTGGAGAATAATCTGGAAGTCCAGCACTGCTAGAGATGGTTGCTCTGTCCCATGTCTATGAATATATACAAAACTGTGTGTGAGACAGTTTATTTATGAAATATAACATAATTCAGACAGAGATTAATGTAACAAATTATGGAAATTCCAGTAAATATTTTAAGTCCTGAAGTGCTTAATTCAATAGAGAGATTAATTAGGGCAGTTAAGTGCCTAATTTCTATTTCTGCAAGGGCAGAACTGATAAGGGAAGGCAATAACTGTAACAGAATGGATAATAGAACAGGTAAGTAATAATGAAAAATGCAAATTCATAAATAGGAAAGGCCAAATTCTACAGTTGGCTGCATCTCTGAAAGGGCATTTACACTAATAAGCTTCTGAGGATTTATATTGAAGACATTATTTTCTAGTACCCTGCCAGACTTGACCAGTTTTTGCTAGCAGTATCAAACAATCTCAGAACAGTTGTTTCATGAACTTCTCTTGAAATCACAATATCTGTAATTGTATTCTTGTGAAAATTTTCTCTTGCAAAGCTTGGTAATGGTCTCTATGTTCTTAGTCTAAGATTTATATTGCTCTTTATGTGATTGTTTTTAATATCATTGTAGTATTTACATGAGTCACTTAAAACCAGTTAAAAGTACTTTTTTAGCAATTCAAAATTTATAAATGTATTTGATTTAGAGGTTGTTTCAGGAAAAGGAAACCTACCACCTCCACTTTGGTAAAGTATGTAGTGGTAGAACTTTGGACTTGATTGTGTTCCTACATATTTTTTGTTTCCTGAGTCACTTCCAGACACCTACTGAAATTTTGTATATAGTACCATTTGAAGCTTTAGGTGGTATCTTTCAACTTTGTGCATCATGAAAGCGGGGCTACATTTGATAAGCCAAGCTTAGTATAGGTACTTTGTAGTTATGAATACTCTGGAAACCCTTGCCATGTTTTTATAGTGGGATTCAATTTTTATTGTAGCAGCTCTGACTGTTGGTATGTCTAATTTATTGATTAATGCTGAAAAGTCCTCCTAACATATAAGCAGTGTAAATAAGGTATTCCAATTTATTTAGTTCTGTAGTTGCTCTACAAGCAGAGCTCCCATTGAACTGAAAACAAAGTTCTGACTGCAGATTTTGCTACAGCATAATGAATTCTTTGCTGGTGAATTCTTTACTAGTGTATGCCAGAGTTTGACTTGCATTTTAGTGTGAAATGTTTCTTCTTAGTGTTTTTTTTTTTTTCCAGAGAGCTGTATTGTCATTTAGGAAAGTCTGGTTTTAAGCTTACATGATGTTATCCTGTAATATAAATCAAGGTGTATTTTACTTTTTGTTCTGTACATTTTTTGTATGGTTTTGATTATATAAAAGATATTTTAAAAATTGTTTTTATTTCTTATTTGCTGCATTACTAGAGGACAAAGTCTGGATGTTGCAGTTTTATATATATTTACAGAAACAACTTACTATGTAAGGAAATCATGAAACCATTTAAATGTAAGGTTTTTTCATGTGGCCAGTATTTCCCTTGAAAATACATAGATCAGTTTTCCATTGGGAAAAAAAGGAAAGAAACTAGTTTGAATGAAAAAACAGTGCCAACAATCTTTTTTCAGCGTATGTGTTTTAAAATGTATTAGGCTTATGCATTCACCACATAAAAGCTGGCATTTTGGTAGTAAATTCTTAAAACTTTCAGCAGCGTGAAAATAATATTTAAGTGAATTGCAAAATCAGCTGAATTTTCCAAAGTAGTAATAAGAAAACTTTGACTTCAAGGACTGTGAGTCCTGATTTTTCTATTTAGATTTCTGAGTCTCATAGTAGTTGCTGAAAGAGAACCTTTGTTTCATGTGATCTGTGTAACATTCTTATATTTTGTCCAACTCTGATTTTGTTTTTCTGGTTTCATAGAGTCTCAAGAATCTTATGAGCTAAGAGCAGCCTATGGAAAACATGAAGAAAGGCTGCAGATGTTACAGCCCAACTACAGAGTGCTAAAAGAGCAATTAAAGCAGTGGGAAGAGGGCAATAGCAGGTAAGTTACATAGCTCATTAAAACATTTTCCTTAGACATGAAATCTGAACAGAAGTATTACATAGTTATTCAAAAGAGAATGTGATTTGAAGGAAGAAGCTACTGTGTGGTGATCAAGACTATCCTTTGTTACAGCAGAATACACAGCTTAACCCACGTGAGAAAAATTCTAGTTGAAGCCAAGAGGAAATATATTCAGCTGACACCTTGACTTATTTTATTGAGAGCCTGAGTACTGGACAAAGGTCAGCTAGGACTGCTTACTTATTTTGTCTAATTCCTCACTCATTTGTTTTGTTGACTGTATGTTTTTAATTTTCTGTAACACAGCAGTTGCTCATTATGTTTCAAATAGTTTTTAGAAATAGTTTTATTCATTAAAATATGGAAATAATACCCTCTCTAACATTTAGGGATTCATATATTAACTGAGGCTAAAATCTCCTTCCTTCTAGGAGAAAAGTAAAATAATATGTGCATGAAAGCAGGGTGTTTTCATCTGTTAAATTTTTTTAAAATAAATTATTTCTGATAATTTTACAAAAAATGCAGTAATATATCTTCATTAATGGAAAGAGGAAAGACTTTACCACATAAAATTTGCATAATGAACATTCTGTATATCATTGTCCCTTAGGCTCTATACAGAACAGTGAAAATTTTATGCAGAAATTCTTCTTTTTTTAAGTCCTTAGCAGACAGATATTTTGGTAAACAGCTGCAATTGGAGGAATGAAAGCATTTCTTAGCAGTTCAGTTATCAAGCACTGCTGTTTTTCAGGACTTGTTTCAAGAAAGTAATTTCCTTGTGGTTTTAGCAGGGCTTTAGCATGCACCTAACAGCTCAGTAAACACTTGTGTGTTTTACTAAAAATAATTATTTTTGCAATTAGAACAATACTGACTAATCTTGACCTTAACTTTATCTCTCTCTGAAGAAAAAGAGAGTCACAGAAAATGCTGCAAAACTGGTAGCTATTCAGAGTCTGGGGTGACATAAAGCATCCTTCTGTGAATGATAAACTGTTCTTTACATATAAGTAATGCTACAGCCTATCTTAGTAGATTTGCATTGCTTTGAAATACTAGCATTTATGTAGGAACGGTTTGTCTTTAAAAAAGGGGAAAAAAAGGAGTGGATGGAAACAATAGTGAAGTACAACATTTTTTGAAATACCTAAGCATAAAGGCAAATATATTTGAGTAAATTATAATTAAAAGGTTTTGGGGTTTTTTTAGGAAAAATGTGGAATTTTTTTTCTTTTAGTTCATTGTTTTAAATTTAGTGCAATCTGGAAGTGACTTAAGGATGATAGTTACTAAATTCAATGAAATTATTTAATTCTGTGTCTAATACCTACACAGGCTTTCATATCCACTGAGAGTCCAAGGCTAACAAGATAAAAAAAAAATGAACTAGATAAAGACATTAAAATCTTAAACTTGATATACAGTGAAGCACTGGGTGTTCTGGTTCTGATAGTTAAAACAATTTAAAAGAAAAGGGAGAGACAAAACTGACTTCTGTTTAAAGTAAATGAGATGAGCTTGTGTTATAATGAATGTATTTAGCAAGAATATAATTCTCAGTCTTCACTTAGTCATCTAATTTTTTCATCTCTGTTTAAGATGAGATGAAAATAACAGGGTTTCAATAATCTTTGTTACCAGGTTAGATTTGTATGAAGCCACATTAAAGGAGGTTTGGTTTTCATTTTTAATACTCTTAAACAAAGGAAAGTAGATAAGACACAAATAAAAGCAGTCTGTAACAATAAGACTCTGTTATTTTGGTATCTCAAAAAGCTGTATAGTGCTGCTATAATGTAAATTGTGCATTAAGAACTCAGTATCAGGTGCTTATGTGGCATTTCTGAACCTTTTTAAGTGATGGAGGACCCCATTCTCCATATTCTTCATAGATTAATATCTGTTATTGAGATGGCAGCTGATGGGACCTAATCCACCTGTCAGTGTACATACCACTTGCACTGATGTACGTGACTGCAAAGATGATGGGGGCCTTAGGAGGTTACCACATTGTCTGAGAGTTTATTTCTATGCCCAGTAGGAATTTGGATTGCAGAGTTTAAATTGATTACATAAAGGATTTTTTAATGCAATTTTTATCTTTGACAGAATTAAAATACCTAAAAATATTTTAAGGACAGAAAAACAGTTAAATATTTTAATTTTATTTTTCTGTGCTTCTAAAGTCAGTATGTTTTTTCTTAATATATCATCTTGTCCATAGATAGTTAATTCCTTTATTAAACTGTGGAACAACAGTGTGATTTCGAGTGGGCATTAGTTGCAACTTCCAGATTGGCTTGCTGGGTTGTTAGGGGAGCTGATGACTCTCCCTTAATTTTCAAGAGATTATGTGATAATTTTTACAACTTCTTTCTCATATCAGTATTTAAAGTAATGTTGTCGGAACATGGGTGACACTATTCTGCTGCGTCACCTGGGAGACTTGGTGTCATACCAGCACAATATCTGTCTGAAACGATGTAATTGAACTTCTCTTTATTACCAGAGCTAGGATTTCATGCCTCAGAATGTATGCTTCATACAAAATTCAGATTCAATGGATGCTGTACTTGAAAATCTGTACTTTCTGAGAGCAGGGGTGCTTTTATTCTGGTTCTCTTAAAACATTTAGATATTTGAAAACAAACAACCTTATTTAACTCATAGACAGCCTTGAAAATAGTAAAAGCAGATACCAGCATACAGGCTCCTGTCAGCTTTGTCAAGAGGATCCTGATGTGATGTGGGATGAACTGGCTTTTTTCAAAAGGGAGTACAAAAAAGCTGCTGATTGAGAAGTGACTTTGTTTCTTAAATGGTGTTTAAGTAAGGAAACATATTAGTTTTTTTTCTGAAGTGCTTCACAGCCATACAAGAGGAATTCCGTGCAAAATTCCATTATAAAAACATCTACCAAAAGCAGAAAAGGAAAACATCAGCTCTTTTTTTTTTCTTACTTCTCTCTCCCCCTTAAATCAGTGACAAGTTACAAGTTTGCTAGCACTAACAGAAACTGTATTCCATGATCTAGGGATTGTGTTAATTAATGTGGCTCTCATCTGTTGGAGGTGTCGCTCTTCATTAGCCTGTATTTTACACACTGCCATGCTTCATTTTTGGAATGAGGTGGTGAGGGGATAACCTAGCCAGCCATCCTTGTTTGATCTCTGTGATACATACGCAATGCAGAATGCCTCAGCTCTCTTGGTTCCCTGCCCTGTCCTGCTAATCCCAGCTGAGCTCATTATGGTGTAGCCTTGCTGCTACTCCTGGAGCCAGAGCTGTCCAAGCTAATTACTGGTAGCAGCAGAGCTGCCTGTTAAGGGTCTGGTGTGGATCTGCTAACATGGTCCTTGGTAGTGACCTGCAGAAAGCACGAGGGAGTTGCTCTCTTTCTTGCTGTGCACAGCCTGTCCTTTGGGTTTAGTGCTGATCCCTTCACACAGCTCTTTCAGCTGTAGTAAGTGTAAAACTTGGTGAAGGAAACTCTTACTTTAGAAAACATACAGTTTGCTGCTTTGATCTCATAATTCATAGGCTATTACACTCAGCCAGGCAAAGTAAAAAAATGTCCTTTTATACTAGACAAAAGGAAGTTAGTATGGTATAATTAGCCCTTTGCTGTGATTTAACACTTTCTGTAAGTGACTATGATTTTTTGTTTTAATTTAAGAATCAAGACATCATAGAAAGTTTTATTCTGACTTTGTTTTTGTCAGCATTAAAAAAAATGTGTTTTCCCAATGGATCACAATGTAAGCCCATTTTGTGGCAATACCATGAAGACTGCTATCACAGAATTTCAACAGCAGCAAATTGTTTTGTTCTGTGTAAGTCCTTGTGTTGACCATAATCTCCATTGGTGTATTATAGGCAATGTTGCCAGTAGCTGTGTTACATGTGTTCTTATATCTGCCAGTTAAAATTGCATGCCTGTTCTTCTCACTTCATTGTCACCTCTTTTTTGCTGTTTGAAGCTATAACAACAAATTATCATGTGCAATTATTTTGTGGGTTTGCATTTTTTATTTTTATGTAGGAAAGAACACTTTCTTGCCATGCATGTAATTGCATACATGTAAGTCCCCTTCCATCACTAGTGAATGCATTCACCACAGGCAATAGTAACTCAAGAGCAATTACATAGGCATCTTTTTTCACACAAAGCCATGCTTATATATTGTGCATATCCAACATGAAAGTTGGACTGCTTTTCTAGACTTCTTGTGCAGTCATATTTTTATGGGAGCACCCTTATTTCTTATATGTTGCAGATGATTGACCTTGACTAGACTGTGGTAAGGTGTCATGAGCAGACAGTTGAGCACTTTAAGATACAGGATTTATAAGACAAAATGGATTCATAAAAGTCTGCATAGTAAGGATTTAGTAAGAAGCCAGTGCAGCATTGTGTTCATTAGGTGAACTCCTTGTGTGGATTTAGGTGCTGTTTGTTCCTTGTGGGCAATGTCACTTACTGTTAGTTGAAGTAAGGAAGAAATGAATGCGTAATTGCGGGGTTTATGTCCGTTTCTAATAGTGACAGTCTTTAATTTATTGAAGGAAGTCACCATCTCAGGATTTCAGCTCATTTTCTTAAGAAAGTCAATACTAAATTTGTTGTACTTTTGAGATATGTGGATAGAGCTTCTGTATCCTGCTTCTATTGTTTTTTAAGTTCTGTGGATAAAGGACGTGATCTATGGAGTTGGACCAGTTACTTATATGCTTAATGTTACAGGCAGTGTGAGTAAATCAGGTTAGCCCATAGCTTTTGTGAATGTACTCTAGCTGGATAGAGCCTACTGATTGTTATCTTAGGTTGATGTAGACCATACATAAACCAAAACCAATGCACTGTTTCTTAAAGAAGAGTGTCTGTGTAGGGATTGTATTTTGGTTTAAGTAGTTTTAACTTGGAATAGGTAAAATTTCTGTCTCTGACTAAACCACAGAGCGTGTGTTTAGAAGATAGGATTATTTGTTGATGCTTGTTTATGTATTTAATCTGTAAGAAAGACTTTTTCTCCCATCTTCGAGGGATAGAGCAATGATGTAAAATGTCTTTAACATGCACATACATTAATCATGGTTTTAGCCCTCCCCAGGGGCTCTATGACTCCCTTCTAGTGAGGAACCCAGAAATGGACACGCAATCCAGATGTGGCCTCACCAATGCTGAGTAGAGAGTCAGGATCACCTTCCTCAACCTGCTGGCAGTGCTCTTCCTAATGTGCCACCAGGACACACTGCTGGCTCATGGACAGCTTGTTGACCTGAAGGACTGACAGGTCCCACTCCACAGAACTGCTTCACTGCAAATCTGATTGCAAGCTGGCTAATTAAATTATTTTTGCATTTCGATATCAAAAGCTAGATAGCTGGAGCATAGGGATACCCTGTTCCTTTGGCCTTCATGTACAGACTTTGGAAACGTATAGATGACTGGATATAAATTGTTGTGGAATCTTTACCATTTTATAGTTTTCATTTTGTATTATTTTTAGGCAACCTTGTAATAGATACCAGCAACACTCAATTATTTGACAAAGAACGTTCTTCAACATTAGACATGGTGATGCAAGGTATCATTTTTCATAGCTAGCTGGAAATTTGTTGTCTGTATGAGTGTTATGTAGCTGTGCATGTCATCCATTATAGGAAGTGTGCTCTGGGTCTTCAAAGCATATGGAATCACTACAAGCTCAGTTGCATCCTTCCTCTGCTGTAGCAGCTATTTAATAAATGTTTCTGATAAGCTTTCTTTTTTTAGGAAAACACGACCTCATGGTTTCTGCTTTCCTTATTCTTGTGGAATTAAAGCAACTGTTGTGTACCTGGTGTAATGGCATGTGATCAGCTAGTTGACAGGAGCCCATCTTAGTACCAGCAGAGCCATGTGATGCCTCTTACCTTTTCTAGCTGTCAGAATGGGTATGATGGAAAAAAGCTGAATTAAGTGTGCTGGAATGCTAGCAGTAAAAACCAGAAACATAGGTTTTTTTAGTTCCTTTGCTTCTTGAATGTGTGTTACCTCCCTGGTTCTTTAACTAGAGAACCTGCTGAAAAATGTGGTTTTGATAATCTTGACCGTCTCAGGCAATAGGAGATGCCTGGTCATCAGAGGCTTTTATTTTTAAACCTCCGGTTTTTTGTGAAACATCCAAATATCCCAGCCATTTTTTTCTGTGTTTCACTCAATAGCTACAGCATGTAGCAGATTTATTTGTAACAAAGTGCATTCATGCTACATCAGTGTTAAAAAGTGTCACCTACAATATGTAGCCCTTCTGACTTGTGTGTTTTCTCTGTAAAGTAATCTTTCTGGTTATCAGTTTTCGGTTTTTTCTGCTCTGCTGGGACAGAGCAGACATCTTACTAATAATTACTTGAATCTAATAGATCAGGGCTCTTGGTTACTTTTTTCTGCAGTTGGTAATTCTGTAGTTCAAAGGCATATATAGTTAAAATGATGGTGTGTATATGTTTGTTCTGGTTGGGGTAGACAATAATCTGAAATACCAGCTTTAGTTCTGAAAGCAATTTCAGCCTAAGTTCTGCAGCTAGTCTTGTGACTTTTCTGTGGGTTTTGACAAAGTGCATGCTTACTGACTGAACTGAGTATTGCTCAGGGAAAATGACAGTCAGGCTCAAGTGTGAGAATGGGAAATACTGCACTACAAATAAATTAAAATATAAAAAATCAGAAGTATTTCGTGTAATACAGAGTATAGTTTCTGTAAGATATTTTTAAAGGACCAAAGTCAGAACTGTAAATGCCATATGAACTCATGTAGGGGCTTTTAATGAACATAATGAACAAAATGGCCCTTTTTTGAAAAAAATCAGGTCTTTTTCTAGCAAGCTTCCAGTTACATTTTCACCAAGCACTATGTCAATTCTTTTCAGTGAGAGGGTTCTGTCAAGGATAATGAGATTGATGCTTTTTAATTGTTAAGCTTGTCTCTAGAACATTTCTTACCTGTGTCCACCACATCTTGTAATTTTCTGCATCCTAGCTAACAGACAAATTTGAGGACTTAGTGTGTTTTTTTAATATCAGATGTGTTCGTGCTTTTCCTTTTTTCCTTCATATTTAATCAGACATGTTTTGTCTTGTACTTCAGTGCCCCCTCATATATGATGGAATTGTGTGATGTTAAAAACAAGAACTGTGCTGCGAAACATTTTTTTTTCATAATATAGAAGCAGATAAATGCAGAATTGAAGTTGCATTAATGATAAAATTTGGACATTTCAGGAACAAAAATGGCAGAGAGATGGTGCAGAAAGTTAAGGACTCTGTTAGCTTCCCTTGGTGTTCTTGCTTGCTCAGAACTATTCCTTGCCTCGCTGTTGGATCAGAGTAATTTCTGTAGATTATTTGGTTTAGAAATGAATTGTTGTAGAGGTGGTAAGCATATTGCCTGCAGAAGAACTGTCTTTTTCTTATCCCTCTGTCTGGCCTAGACAAAAGGTCTTCAGTATTTAGATGGAAATATCTGATTTATTAGTCTTACAGATATGCATGCACGTGTAAAAATAAAGAACTACTAAGTGTGTCATACTAAACTGTACAGAATGTTCATAGAAGAAGTCTATGAACCTACAGTCAGTAATACCAAAGCACACTGATTGCTGCTAACATGTCAGAAGAGAATAAGGAGTAAGTAATGAAAATAAGTTTCTCTGCAGTACCTTTTGTAAAGTTCTGGAATTTCCAGTAAAAGTAGCAGTGCTTTTTACATTCTGGCTAGATTAATTTAACATATAGTACTAATTT